CAAGTTAACCCAGAGTGGGGATGTCCCTGGGACTTGTTTCTTGAATTGACACTTCTTACCCGAGATGACCACAGTGTGGAAGGGAATTCCAGACCAAAGAAACAGCCAGCATGACTGGGTGCACCGGCAAGGTGATGAGGGTGTCCTGAGTCCCTGGCTCGCCCCAGATTCAGCTAGGGCTGTCTTCCCAGAGGCCCAGATGGCCTACCCCAGATTCTCTGATAAGAACATAGGAAGTTGGGTCCAAGAGGGAATGGACTTAGACATTTGCAAGGCACAAATATGGAAAAACCCAGGATCACTGGGTGTTCATCCAACATTTTTTCTGAACCTATGTATTAGGTCCCATATTGAATGATGGAGAAGGACATGACCCCACCCTTACCATCCAGCTGCCAAGGGAGACCACCATGGGTCATATGACCCAAAGGGAAAATTACAATTATCTCATTCCAAGGGGGACTCTTCTGGTCTTTGAGGTCAGATGAGCTGTTGGGCTGGTGGGGCAGGAGGCTACACAGTGGGGTGGTGTCCTCAGGACCTCCTGGTAGCCAGCTCTGTAAAACTTGGGGTCAGACCTCAGGTAAGATCCATCACAAGAGGCGCATGGGGCATATTGGGTAGGGCCCAAGGCTCCTTAGCTGGCCTGCCTTGTCTCAGACAGGCAGCTCGAAGTGGAAGGCTCAAGCATGGCTTCTGACAAGTGTACACTCTGCTCCTGTTGGCCTTGCTCAGTGAAGCTCAGCACTGTGCTTGAACTTACTTCCCATGTACTTCCAACTCAGCCTGCTCTGGGGCTGAAAGAGTAAATGAGGAGGAGAAGAATGGCTGGGAACTGCTGAGGGGGGTGGGGAGACAGGACATAGGGACAAGGGAACTAGGACAGCAGGCAGCCTGAAGCCCCACCAGAGCACCTGAGCCATTCAGGAGAACCCAGCCCCAGGGCCTGATGGGAGTATGGCATAGCTTTTCCAGAGCCTGAGTGAGGTGTTACTGGGGCACCCAGGCTGCAGGAAGAAGGTACTGCGGGAAGAGAAACTGTAGATAGGAAGACAGACAGTAAAGTCAGGGAGGCCTCCAGTGACCAAACAACAACAACAGGGCCACTAAATGTGTCTATGCTGAACATCCACCCAGTCAGTATGGACAAGCAAGTCAGATGGATGCAGATCTGCTGCCCTGAGGAAGCTGCCTAGTCCCAGCCCCTAGGGAGAAGCTGCCAACCTGCTAGTACTGTGTGATTCAGCTGTGTGGCCTCCCAGGCAGGGTTCAGGTTTCCAAGAAAGTGTCTTAGGCAAGGTCGAGAGGGAACTTCCTGCCATCCTTGCTTCCCCTTGCTGTCCTCCAGCCTTCCCTGCCTCCTTCCTGCCTTCCCCATGCTTGGCATCCATGAGCCCAGAGGGCTCAGTCCCCCCTGGAAGTATCTTTGGTTTCTGCCTAAGAGACCCAGATGGTCAGTCAGAAGAGGGAAGGGCAAGGTCTTGACCAAGAGGTGACAGCAGAGGGGAGCCTTGGCCAGTCCTTCCCTCTCTGTCTTTGGTCATGACTTCCTCCCAGCACTCTGCAACTCAGACACTCCCTGCTGCTCCAGCTCATGGCATCCTGAGGTGCCAGGCAGGAAATGATGGCTTCACTTTCTATATGGGGAACCAGGGCTTACTGCACCTATGCCTGAGCTGTGGGGTACCTCATCTGTGAGATGGGTAACCCAGAGCCCTCTCCCAAGATGGCAAGGATATGAAGCAGAGTTGGGGCCAAGCTTGGGGGCAACTTGGAAAAGGAGTCAAAGTTTGCTGTCAGATTCCCCTCTTTCTAGGCCCAACATGGGGCCAAGCCCACCCTGACAACCAGCTTAGAGAAGCACCCCAAAGTAAGACAAAGTAATGGCACTGAGATTTTTAAACAGATCACTTTCTCACCCCAGTGGAGGTCATCTTCTGGGACTCCTTTCCTGGGTTGGATTCAGGAATAAGGGAAGGAAAGAATATACTCCCTGCCCAGGAGAGCTAGGGATCAATGGCAGGCGCCTGAACTACCTAGCCTAGGGCTCTTGCCATCTCTGCTCAGTGCCCTCTGTGACTCTGCCTCACCCAGGCCTGTTGTCCCCAGAAGTGCCTCATCAGGCAATGCAGAGGGTCCAGAGATGCACAGAGTCACCTCCCATCCACTGCCATGTTGAATCCTGTGGCCCCACTCCAAACCCTTCAGTTTGAGAGGAGAGGTAGAGACTGAGGTTGTTGTGTGTGCAACACCTGGTATTTATTTACTGAGCACCTACAGTATGCAAAATGCCCTCACCAGCTCTGTCCTCCAGGAGCATCTGGTTTAAATGGGAACTGGGTGGGGAGACATATATTGGTTACAATATGGATAGGGAGGTGAGAGGTGTGTTCCATCCACCTTGGTAGTAGGGATGGGTGGGTGTCTCTGAGGGATCTAGGCAGAAGGTGACATCAGCCACATGAGAGGGTCAGGAGGGCTTCCTGGAGAAGTGGGCTTCTTTGAGCATCCCTGTGGCATATTCAGTTTGCGGGCCTGCCATGTGCACCATGCAAGTCCTCTGTTGGGTACTGTTGGGGCATAGTACCCACCCTTGATGGGAAGGCTCAGTAAACAGGTGATTACACATGGACCTGGAGTTTCTCCCTTGCAGATATCCCTGGAGGCTTTTTAGTGGGGATAGAAGGGATGCTGATGTTCCTAGAGACTTCACCTCAGGGTGGCAGGTGGTACAGACTGGTGTAGGTAGGCAGTGGTGAGAGTGGATGCAAGAGTTGGACCAGGGATTGGCAATGAGGAGGCAGAGGTGTGTGAGAGGGCACCAGCAGAACTGGGGGCATCTGAGGACCTTTGTAAAGAAGGTGCCCAGAGAGTCCCCCAAAGCCCTATGCTGCCTCAGAACTCCTCATGCACAGTGACCTTCCAGGCAGATAGCACTTAGTGCTAGCCAAAGGGCCAAGAGGCCAGACTAGGGAGAGTGCTGTGGCTTCTGGACTGGTCCCCTCCCCACTCTGCTAGCCACTTCCTTACCAGCTGGAGGCCACACCCCTAGGCCTGGGAACCTCCTGTGGGTGGATTGCAGGTTGAAAGATGCTTTCAGCGAGCACGTTTCCCTGGTCACAATCCTCCAGTTGCTTTCAGGGCCTCCAAACTCTGTGAAAGTCACTCCCAAAAGACTCCTAACCCAGCTCCAAAGGGTCCGAATTCTGTGGGTCCTGGATGCTTGTTCCTCTGGCATCTATCCAGGAGTGAGACAACCTATTCCCTACCCAGCAGCCCTCACCCTGGGTGCGCCAAAGCCCCCCCAGATACAGTGTCAGGGTGGAGCCTGTGACTGTTGGGGTGTCCATTCTTGGGGAGTTTCAGGAGCCCCTCCATCTTTTCACCTGATCCCCTGAGTATGGCACTGGTCCTTTAAAGGAGATCAGCGTCTTGGCTTTGGGGAAAAAGATCCGTGATTTCTGCCATCTGCTTACAAGCCTGGCCTTGGGGGGTGGGGTCACCCTAGTCCCCAGTAGGGGCATTGGAAGGGCAGGTGGAGCCAGTAGCATTGATCGCAGTAACCTGATCCTGGGGGGGGGGGGGAGGCGGCGACAACGCAGCAGCAGCACCAGCAGCAGCATTGGGCAGCTGAGGGAGGAAGCTGCCTGCAGCTGAGGGCTGGGCTGGCAAGAGTTGGGGCTGGGGCCTGGGTGGGCAGCTGTGGCCTCCACTCTGGCCCATCTATTTTTAATGAGCTCCCCAGGCTTCTGCAGCTGGCAGGACGCACAAAGGCAGGCCCAGTCAGTGGAGGCCAGAGGCCCCAGCCGTGCCTTGAGCTCTGGCCCCCCAACCCTTCTGGGCATGAGAGGGCAGCCCTGGGGCCCTGCAGCCCCCCAGTTGGGCAGGGCTCTCTATGCAGCTGGTACTGAAGATGGATTCCAGCCCAGACAATGACAGCTGGTTGGAGGATCAGTGGGAGCACTGGTAGGGAGCCTGGGGGCTGGTGGCAGGGTATGGGGGGAATCTGGAGGAGTTCCATTGAGCTCCTGGCCCCTGTTCCCTTTGACTGAAGTAGGGGGCAGAGGTGTGAGTCTCCTAGGCTCCCTTGGGGGCTGCACTCCCTCCTTTCCCGGGTGACCTTGGATGAGCTGTGTACCTTTGCTCTGTGCCTAATCTTCTGGTCTCTAGGGAAAGGTTCAAGCGTTCCTCTCAGCTTCCCAAATGCCCCATTCACACCAAGCCAGAGAGTACATGGGTTAGGAGCAGGTGCAGGGGTCAGGCAGGCAGCATAGTGACTGGCTCAGTCCTGCACTCTTGGGTGGGTACACAGGCTGGCTTGGACTCCTGGAAGTCTGTTAGTGTTCTGGTGCCCAAGTGCTCTCTGTGGTCTGTCTCTAGGCCTAGCCTGGGCTTTTCCTGACCCCATCTGTTTAGGGTCTTTGCACCAGACAAGATTTTGTAGTTGAAAGGATGAGATCAAGAACATAACAGGAGGCCATAGGTTCTCTTCAAATGGACTGACCCCAAAGACCCCCCCCAACACACACATTGTTCCCAGGGCTCAAAGGTGACACCCATTAGAGGACAGTATGGCTTGTCAGCCCTTTGGGGTTAGTTACTGAGGACCGCACTGGTGCCCCTGCTCTGGGCACCCTTGTAGTCTTCTCACCTTTGCTTTCTGCATGGATGATGGCCTTGGTACTTGCCTTGGCCATGGAGGCATTTTTCCAGCAGAGCTGGGATTCTGAGCAGTTGGACCTTCTAGGACTGCCTTCTGGTTGGCAGCCCGATGGAGAACTCCCAGCTGGAGATGCTGGGGCAACCTGGAACCACCTTCTCCACCACCCTAGGTGGAATGCCTTCTGGCTCAAACCCCAAATCCTTCCCCTGCCTATTGGCTACCCCACCACTGGTGCAGACACTCAGTTCTGCCATCTAGAGACTGTCACCTGCCTTCAAGTGGCTGCCCCTGGGAAGAGGCCCCCTGGGTTGTAACTTTGGTTTTCTGTTCCCACCAGGCTCACTCACGACATCAGCCTGGAGGAGTTTGAGGATGAAGACCTCTCAGAGATCACTGATGAGTGTGGCATCAGCCTGCAATGCAAAGACACCTTGTCTTTCCGGGTAAGGGCTGGCTCTGGAAAGTCTGAGTGGGGTAGCAAGATGAGAACAGGCGTGAGGGAACGTCCATATTTACAAAGAAGTTTCAGGTGTGTGGGAGTCCCCCCAGGAGGGGAAGTAACATGGAGGAAGCATCCAGTATGATGTCTGTCACATCTTCGGTGCTCAGTCAGAATTCTTTAAATTCTATGTGTTGTTTTTGCCAGGGCTAAGGCAGGAAGCAGTGCCTTCATTTGCCCCCAAGGAGGGAGGGCAGGAGAGCTTGAGATGTAAGACAGTGGCAGTGAGAGCCAGAGTGAAGAGAAGGGCCTCACAGCAGCAGCTTGGCAGAGGGCCTGCAGCAGTATAGGGTGGAGTCTGCTGGAATCTGCAGTGCTTTGGGCAGGAAAAAGAAGCCAGGGCACTGCCAGACTAGCTCCCATGGCTGCCAATGCTGGTGCACCAGAAGGAACACACCATACAGCCTGCCAGGCTCTCCATGGCACTCGCTGAGGGATCGGCCCAGTATCACTGCTGCTTTGGACCCCTGGCTTTGCCATAGGGACAGGTTCTCTCCTGTCCTTATATCTGAGTGCCAGGGTACCCAAGCTAGATGGGGATCCCCATCAGAACAGAAAGCAGGGGTTTGCTTGCCAGAATGTGGAAGACAGTTGCCACAGGCTAGGATTTAGAGTCAAGCACATGTCTCTTCACCCCGGGAGAGTGAAAGTCTAGGTGAAACATTTGGAGAGCTGCAGTATGAGCTGGGAAAGGGTATTTGTCTTAATGTTGACCTCTTACTGTTCCCTGCACTACTAGAAACTGTCAGGCAAGAGGAAAGAAAGAGGTGAGGATGATCCTCTTGTTCCCATACCCCAATCCTCCACGTCTGTTCAGGCCAGAAAGGGATGGAGGCAGAGGCCACTTAGCTCTGAGATGATTTCTTAAAGATCACATACCTATTCTGGACTCTTACCACCACCGTCTCCCACAAGCCATGCCTTCAAAGGGGTTCTCTTCAACTAGTCAGGGTCCCCAGATGGTACTAGACTAGCTAGGGTGATCCCTTGTCAACGTGTCGGCGGCTTTCACATACTTTGCAGAGTCTGGAAACCTGGAAGGCACTAGTATTGTCCCCAGCCAACCCTGGAGCCATGGAGGAGTCAGGGGAGCTGTCCAAGGTGCCTGGGAATTAGTGACAATACGGGAACTAGCACAGCGCTCAGACTATCGAGGCTGGCTTAACTGGGGGGAAGGTGTCCTGTTGGAGCTAACACGGGAGGGCTGGGGTGCCACCGCCAGGGTTCTGGGTGCCGCCTGCCCGCCCTACCCCCTCGCGGTCCCTCTTCCGACTGCTGTCAGAGCCTCGAGCCCATAACTACAGACCTCTCATAGTTCTGGCTGAGACGCGGTTTTCCTAGTTTGCTTCGATGGCCCCTTCAAATATGGACGAATCATCGCATCCATCCCTTGTGACCCACCCACCCAACTCCTTAGCGACCCCTGCGTCCCCATGGCAACAGCGGTGCTTTCACTCTGGGATCGCCTTACGACCCGGATGAGGTCACCGGCCGTTGTCAAGGGAACGGAAGGGTGCAAGGAGTCCGGAGGGGGGACCATGGGAGAGGAGAGGCGTGGGCGGTACCGGCGCAGGCTGGAGGGGGGACTCGGCCTCGCAGGAGGCGGGTGTGCACCGGTCCTGGCCCGGCTCCCTAACTGTTGTTGCCCCTCTCGCGGCCGTGGAATGGACTCATCCGAGGTGGTGGGGAGGGAGGGGGGAAGAGTGCGTGGCGGCCTAGCCCCACCCATCTGAGAGGCCCCACCTCCTGACGCCCCTCCGTTCCCGCCGTGCAGCCCCAGCGAGTGGGGCTGCTTCCTGCGGGCGGCGGTGGCAACGCTGGGAGCCGATTGCAGGCGGAGATGCTGCAGATGGACCTGATCGACGCAGCGGGGGACACTCCCGGCGCCGAGGACGACGAGGACGACGACGAGGAGCGCGCGGCCCAGCGGCCGGGAGTGAGGCCTCCCAAAGCCGAGTCCGGCCAAGAGCCGGCGCCTCGCAGCCAGGGCCAGGGCCAAGGCCAGGGCACGGGCAGCGGGGACACGTACCGGCCCAAGCGGCCCACCACGCTCAACCTCTTCCCGCAGGTGCCGCGGTCTCAGGTGAGTGCGGGGACCTGGAAGGTGGAGGGCGCAGGCTCCGCTCTTCAGGTCCGGGACCATTTAGGCCGCAGTCTGGGGACAGATCTGCAGGAAGGGCCAGGAGAGAGGCTTAACGAGGGACAGGAAAGTCTGTCCTAAGAACTCAGTCCATCTGGTCGGGTTTGGAGCCTGGGAAGGGCAGAAGAATTTGCCAGGGACAGTGGAAAGGTTGGAGTGGGAGAGGGGCAGAGCATATTGAGGACAAGGCTTTGAGAGATTGGGTACTTGCATTTGTGACAGGGTCCCTTTTTAGGTTATGGGCTCCTGTGAAGGTTGAGAGGCAGCAATAGGGCCTGGAGTAAAGAGCATCCAAAATGAGAAGGAGGTGGGGATGGGAGATCAGGGTCTGCAGCCAGTTGGAAATCTTGGCAGCTGGGAATTCCAGAAGGCAGAGGGAGAGATAGGGGATGGAGCTGCTTGTCTGAGTTGGGGACCCAGGGCCCCTGACTGATGGCTGGATGCCAAGGAGGACTGCTTTGACCTTTTGTTTTCTAGACCTATGGAGGAGAGATACTGGGAGGGAAGAAGCTGGAAAGGTGGGGCTGCTGGTGGATGGATGGTGCAGGGGCTGCAGGGATGAGGTTGATCCTTTTCCCAGGATCCTCTGGCATGGCTTTTGGCAGCCCAACTCATGAATGTGCAGGCTAGTGATAGTGTTCCCAGGGGAGAGAGCCCAAGTTGTGTGTGTAGAACCTTGTACATAGGCACTGTTCAGGGGTCCCAGGAGGCTGAGAATGTGGGATGGATGAGCTGTCCGGGAGATCCAGGAAGGAGGGCTGCTGACAGTACATCTGTCATTCCTCAGTCATGAGGGACTTTGGGGGTGGGGGGGCTGTTACAGAGTCATGATTCATCCACCCAGGTCCCCAGGCCAGCTCCTGGGAAGACCGACCCTCGTGCCAGTGTCCCTGCTGCTTTACTAGGCCCTGATTTTCTGAGCTCTAGAGCAGGGTGTCAGTGACCCTGTCCCCCACCAGGGCTGGATTTGAGCATCTAAACACGTTGATCCGCAGTGTCTGGGGCTGCTGGTCAGATTCTCCAGGGAACTCCATTTCTCCCCACCACCTCCCCCACTCACACCCACACTGGCCAGCACTACCTTTGCAGAGCATCTCCTGAAGGTTGCCCCCAAGCCATCAGGCCTGTGGGGAAGGGATGTGACCTCTCATCCCTCCTGCCTGCTCAAAGAAGGTTGGCAGAGAGGCCTTTGGCAAAGGGAGGTGGGGTGGACACAGAACACAGCCTAAGGATGGCCTGATGGGGGCAGGACCAGGGCCTCCCTGTGCCGGGCACTGCTTACGTTCCTCATAAGGCCCTTTTGTTCTCTGCACAGGACACACTGAATAATAATTCCCTAGGCAAAAAGCACAGTTGGCAGGATCGGGTGTCTCGATCGTCCTCCCCTCTGAAGACAGGTAGGTCAAGCCTTTCTCCCTGAATTAGAAACCTAGCCCCAACTAGCCACAGCAGACCCAGTAATCTCCACCTGGCCTACCTGGGTTGGGGTCAGCTGGGATGTGAGCTAGGTGACCAGCTGCAGAGTCTGCCCAGGGAGGCTCATCTTAGCTTCTGGGTGGACAAGCAGGAAGAGAAGGGGGCAGATATCTGGAGTGGGGTTCTGCCCTCAGCATCTGCCTGCTTACCCTCCAGGGGAGCAGACACCTCCACATGAACACATCTGCCTGAGCGATGAGCTGCCACCCCAGAGCAGTCCTGCTCCCACCATCGATCGAGGCACCTCCACTGACAGCCCTTGTCGCCGTAGTGCTGCCACCCAGATGGCACCTCCAGGTGGTCCCCCTGCCAGTGCACCTGGTGGCCGGGGCCACTCACATCGAGACCGAATCCACTACCAGGCAGATGTACGGCTTGAAGCCACTGAGGAGATCTACCTGACCCCAGTGCAGAGGCCCCCAGACCCTGCAGAGTCCACCTCCACCTTCTTGCCGCCCACTGAGAGCCGGATGTCTGTCAGCTCTGATCCAGACCCTGCCACTTACTCTACAACTGCTGGACGGCCACACCCCTCCATCAGTGAGGAGGATGAGGGTTTCGACTGCCTGTCATCCCCAGAAAGGGTTGAGCCATCAAGTGGAGGGTGGAGGGGAAGCCTTGGGGAGCCACCACCTCCTCCACGGGCCTCCCTGAGCTCGGACACCAGTGCTCTGTCATACGACTCAGTCAAGTATACACTGGTGGTGGATGAGCATGCCCAGCTAGAGCTGGTGAGCCTGCGGCCCTGCTTTGGAGACTACAGTGATGAGAGCGACTCAGCGACTGTCTACGACAACTGTGCCTCTGCCTCCTCCCCCTATGAGTCAGCCATTGGTGAGGAATATGAGGAGGCCCCTCGGCCCCGGCCCCCCACCTGCCTCTCAGAGGATTCCACTCCTGATGAACCTGACGTCCACTTCTCCAAGAAGTTCCTGAACGTCTTCATGAGTGGCCGCTCTCGCTCCTCCAGTGAGTCAGCAAGTGGGGAGCAGTGGGGGACCTGGTCAGGGAGAGCTGAGATGGAAGGGGCCTCAGGCCCCATCTGGTCTGCCTGAGAGGACAGAGCTTTCTGCCTGCCCCTCCACCTCAGCCTAAGCTGAGGATACCTCCTCCAGCACATCCCCTATCTACAGGTGCGGAGTCCTTCGGGCTGTTCTCCTGTGTCATCAATGGAGAGGAACAGGAGCAAACGCATCGGGCTATATTCAGGTGAGGGCTGTATCCCTCCCTGACACTGACATACACACACACACACATACACACACACCCAACCCCAGGCTCAGAGCAAACCTGTTCCAGCGTCCCTTCAGCTACTGGGGGACAGTATCCCTTTTGTAGGAACTCAGACCTTGGTGACAGTACGCTGAGATCTCATGAGGAAGGCAAGATTGTACACCTAACCTAGCCTGGTGCCCAGAGAGATCCCTGCCCCTGCATAGCATCTACACCCCACGTTGCCTCCTCCAGGCAGAGTGCTCATCTTCTGTGATCTCTTAGTTTAATTGGGGCCTTTCCTCTCTTGGCCCCTAAGTTTTGGGTGGCAAATGTATGTGAATAGCACATATCTCACATAGGAGCCAGCTCAGTGACAAGTATGGGTGTTTTGCAACTATTTAGTGAACTCACAGTGCCACTATGGCTCCCCACCCCAGAGTGGTTCTGGCTGGAAAAGCCTGGTGAGAACTTTCTCATGTGGTCTTGTTGGGGACAGGTTTGTGCCTCGACATGAAGACGAACTTGAGCTAGAAGTGGATGATCCTCTGTTGGTGGAGCTGCAGGCTGAGGACTACTGGTATGAAGCCTACAATATGCGCACTGGTGCCCGAGGTGTCTTTCCTGCCTACTATGCCATCGAGGTTACCAAGGAGACTGAGCACATGGCAGGTAGTGCCCTTCCTCCGGTCTGTTGTCACCAGCTCCTTCATCTGCCCACCCGACTTGCTACCAGTAAACATACATTTACCCCAGGTCTCAGCCAGCCAGGGGAATGAGCAGGGATAATTTCAGGTCCATTTCACAGTTGAGAAAAGTGAGGCCCAGCCAAGTTACGGCATGTTGCTCCCTCTACTTGCTGAGTCATTGCTCATGCCTTGGCATGGCTCTGAGTCCCCTCTTGCTGTCTCTTTTGCTCCTCACTGCACACTTCCTTTCCAGCCCTGGCCAAAAACAGCGACTGGGTGGACCAGTTCCGGGTGAAGTTCCTGGGCTCCGTCCAGGTTCCCTACCACAAGGGCAATGATGTCCTCTGTGCCGCTATGCAAAAGGTACTGGTCTTGGCTCCCTGCTTTTCCCTTGGGTGTCCACCCCAAGCCAGTCCACACTGCTGGAGAAAGGACACGAAGGTCTACAGGCAGAACTGCAGCAGCAGGGATCTGGAGAGAAACACGGTGTCTGACCTGGCCCTTTTCCTCACACAGATCGCCACCACCCGCCGGCTAACCGTGCACTTTAACCCCCCCTCCAGCTGCGTTCTTGAGATCAGCATTAGGGGTGTCAAGATAGGTGTCAAGGCTGATGATGCTCAAGAGGCCAAGGTGGTTTCCTTCCACAAGCCCCAGCCTACTTGCCCCATGTGCCTCTCCTGCTCTTCATGTATGTCTTTTGCCCCTTATCTCCTGCCTTCCATGTACCTTGCCTGTCTCCTGACCCCAATGTGCTTCTCCTGCCCCCCATCTCCTATCCTCCATGTGCTTCCTCCTGCTGACCTCTTGCTTTTCTCCTTCTTCATGTAGGGGAATAAATGTAGCCACTTTTTCCAGCTAAAAAACATCTCTTTCTGTGGATACCATCCAAAGAACAACAAGTAAGTGGGAGAGGCACTGGTGGTGGGGGTCCTGGTGGTGGTTTGGCACCATCATGGGTGGGCATGAGTCAGAACTTGTCTGACACCTACCTGCCTTTCCACAGGTACTTTGGGTTCATCACCAAGCACCCTGCTGATCACCGGTTTGCCTGCCATGTCTTTGTGTCTGAAGACTCCACCAAAGCCCTGGCAGAGTCTGTGGGGTACGTGTTGTGTGCATGTGTGCTTGTGGGGTACATGTTGTGTGCATGTGTGCCTATGTCTGTGTGTCTGTTCTTGTGTGTTGCCAAGCAGGGAGTACCCCATCATAGGCCCCAGAGCTGCTTCATGCTCAGTGTTAGTGTCATTCTTGTCTTTCCTTAAGCTCTGGAAACTCCACTCTAGTAGCCAGTACAGTGGCCAGGGGGATGCTGGGAGGTCCCAAAGAGCCTATGGTGTGGGCCACCCCCTTCGTTGTTTAGCTGCTGGGCCCTTTCTCAGCTGCCACCCTCATTGGGAAACAGCACTGAGAGCTGTTCTCAGGGATCCCAAAACACCCTCTGAAAAGCCTGAGGTGAGAATCCTGGCTTCCCCTGGCAGAGGCTTCTGGTCACCCATGTCCCCTGCCTTCTAGGCGTGCATTTCAGCAGTTTTACAAGCAGTTTGTGGAGTACACCTGCCCCACAGAAGATATCTACCTGGAGTAGCAGTGTTGCCGCCCTCTGCAGTACCTCAGCCCCAGGCCAGTACCAGGACGGCTGGCTGCTGACAGGATATGGCACCACTGCCAGCAGAAGATGGGGAAGCGAGGGCTGTTGGCCTGGGGTGGGGGTAGGGGTGTGGGGAGAGGCAGGTGCGATTTATTGTAATATATGGGGCTAGATTCATCTATAGAGGGCAGCGTGGGCTCTCTGGGGACTGGGAGGAGGTGGGCCTCTAGCCTCAAAGGCATCCCTGTAGGAAGAGGCACTGCCCAGCCATGGGCCTTGCTTCCTGCCAGGGGCTCTGGCTGTCTGGCTCTTGGCTTCTGCCTTGACAAAGCCCACTCCATCCGCAAGTGCCCACCTTCCTCTGTCCCCAACCTAACCTAGAGCCCTGGGCTCAGGGTGAGCCCAGTCACTTCCCGAGGACTTTCCAGTAAGGAAATGGCAGCAGGTAACAGTTCTCAGCTGACATCTGTGGGGCTCTGGGTGTCTCCCACCTCCAGCCTGACTGGCATGCTGGTACTAGCAGGCTTCAATGATGCCAGGAAGGAGAGGGCTACAGTAGGCCTTACCTGGCAGGGAAAGGAGGCCTCCCAGCTGGTCCCAGCCAATCCCATCACTGTCTTTCATCTGGCCACTACTATTAAAAGTGCCATTTCCTGTGTGGACCACAGTGAGTCTGTTTACTCTGACCCTTGCCAGGCCTTTTTGCTACACACAGGAAAGCCAAGCATTTGCTACCTAGAATAGCTTTATGTGGGGTTCCCATCACAGATTTACATCATAGTAATAGTCAGCCATGTTGGGCCCATCTCGCTTGCGCTGCTGGGCCTGAGAGAGGAGGGGTTGGGGCCCTCGTGGCCACGGGTGTTTGGGTCTGACCCCATAGTCTAAAGAGAGAAGAGGATGGGATGAGGGAAGGGCTGCTGATTTGAAATGGGGCTGCGGGCAGCTCTAAAGAGGCTGTCAGGGAGGAGACGGGGCCTGGCCCTAGGAGACCTCTAGGGGACCACCTGCCCTGTGGAGGGTGGGGGCAGGAGAGGAGAATAAATACTACCATCCACCAGGCCGGAGAGTGGCTGGGAAAGTTCCAGGGGGGCTGAAAATTCCTCAGGAATAGATCGCTGAGACCTGTGGGAGATGTTGAGCTGCTGAGCTTTGGCCCCAAAAGCCACTGCCACCTCTTTGTAAGGGAGGGACAGCCCAGGATGAGAACTCCAAAAGCCAACCCTCCAGGATGCTCTTCCGGAGCCTTCTAGGCCCTTAGACTCTGGCCTTACCTCTGGGGCTGAGGGCGAAGGAGTGCACCTGCCAGGATGAAGTAGAAAAGGAAGAAACTGAGCCCAGCCCTGGGGTACAGAGCCCCCAGCATGGCAAGAACCATCTCCTACACAGTCCTTGCTGCGGCTTCTGCCTGCCCCTCCCCCAGCAGGACAGAACCTGGCACCAGCTCCCAGGGCTACCTCACAAAGGACATTAGTTCCAGGGCTCAGCATCAGCACCTGTCTTGGAGTAAGGCCAGAAACCTCCATTCTGAGGTTTGTGTCTCATTTTACTTTACTGACTCTGTGGCCAACAAGTCCCCAACCAAAATTCTGTGCCAGTGTCACTGCCCAAGAGCTGAGGGCACTAACTCAGTTCAAAGCTTGTTCTTGTCTCTTGTAACCCTGACCACTTACATCCTGTGCCTCAGTTTTCTTACCTATGAGGTAAACTCCACAAAGTACCCAAGGTCTGACACACAGTAGGTCTTTAATAGAAGTTAGACTCTACTACTCAGAGACCCTGCATTCCAGTCTCCCTCCATTATCTACAGCCCAAGACAGTTTCTCAGTCATGGGAAAGTCCTGCAGCTACAAAAGTCACAGTGGTCCTTTTTCCTGACCACCTGGAGTCCACTGGGTGACCAAGAAATCCATAGGCTCCTTGGGTCTTTTTCTCTGGGAACCCTTTCCAGATTGCTCCCTTGGCTCAGAACAGCCAGATCCACAGGTCCTGCTACTGGGGCTGTATAAGATGGTTAAAAGGGGATAAAGCTTTGGATCTGCATCCTAGAGTGAGCTGCAGGGCAGGAATAATGCTGCAGTATGCTTACTGGTTGTGGGACAAATAAAAGTATGAGTGACCACTCCTTGTGCAGGTCTGAAACAAAGCTGCGTTTCCAAGCTCTACTGGTTGTGGTACTCTGACTCCACAGCCCAGCCCAGCTACCTATTAACACAATGTAAAACTAGCTCACTTCTCCATACTGGAACCAATAATAATGACAGGGTGGGAGAAATGGCTCAGCAGTTAGGAACACTGGCTGCTCCTGCAGAGGACCCAGGTTTGAATCCCAGCACCCACACGGTGGCTAACGACCATCTGTAACTCCAGTTACAGGGGATCTGATGCCCTCTTCTGTCCTCCATGGGCACTGCATGACACTGGTGCACTTACACACATGCAGGCATAACACTCATACACATAAAATAAAATCAATAATTTTAAAAAATCCTGGCCCCACCCCACAGCACAACATCAGAATGGGCGTGAGCCCCAGGGTCTGTAGCTCTCCAGAATGCAGCTGCCCCAACCTTGTCTTCTACCTGCTGTGGAACCCAAGACCCAGAATATGTTCTACATTTCCCAACTTTGCCCCCTGGTCCCAAGTCTCTTGAGTCCTGATCACTCCAGTATCAAGCTGCACACTAACCTTTAACACTACCTCCCTTTTATATCCTGGTCCTGTCTCACAGCCTACCTTGTGTCCCTGCCAGGGCATCCCCCCTCCCAGAAACTGACAGACATGGGCCAGGGGTGTGGCTTGGTGGAGTCTCTGCCCAGCATATTCCAGGTAGGCCCCAGGTTCCACTGCCAAGATCAAAACAAAACTGCTAACATCTCAGAACCTGCTAGAAGGTTCTCTCCATCACTCCAGAGGCACTTGCCACTGTGCCTCTATCTCTTGCATGGCACACACAGTGATGTACATCCAGTAGTCAGGAGCTGTAAAGGCAGGAAACAATGCCTGTCGCTTGACTATACAACACATGGCACTGAGCCTGCTAGAGAGGAAGTAACCCAGGATGCTGGTTAAACTGAACTGAAGGTCACAGATGGCAGAGCTGACATGACAGGCTGCTCTTCCTACTGCCCAGCTCAGGGCCTGGGTGGTGCTTCTATGGTACCTGGCAAGCCTGACAGAGGCTTGAGCCACCAGGACATCTTGGAGGAGGTGGGGCCTAAAGGAGAGGGTTACAGAGAGTGCCCGCCAAAGCCAAGGGGTACCACTGCTGGAAACTCCAGCAGGAGAAAGGCTGGTTCTTCCATGGACAAAGGATGGGAGAAAATATGTGAGGCAGGCAGCTCACTCCCAGAATCTCTGCTCATGAAAGGCTGAGGCAGGAAGACTGCTGTGAGTTTGAGGCTAGCCTGGACTACATACTACATTTCAGGCCACTAAGACTCTATCTTTAAAAAAAAGGGAGGGAGGGAGGGAGGGTTGCTGGCTGGCTGGCTGGCTATATAGCCTTGTAGGGCAGACAGAGGCCTGGCCAGAAGGCATACTAGATCATGGTTATCCATGGACTGGTTTGGCTTGTGTTACCAGGGCCCAGCAAGAAGGAAGCACCCAGTCCCACATCTACTGAGGCAAGTAACATCCATGTTCAAGGAGACATAAGTCACAGGACTACTGTGGTATGACAAAGCCGGCCCTTGGGCCTGGTGGTGACTTCCTGCCCAGTGACAAGGAGCAGGCTGCAGTGGCTCCATCCTAGGTGTGAAGAGGAATGCTGATGGGGGACCAGGGCTGGGAGCAGGGTCTTCCAGGAGAGCTGCTGAACAGTGGACACAGAGAGCCACATGCTGGGCTGCTGCCAGAGTCAGTTTTATTAGGGAAGACTGGCCTGGGGGACTAGAGGGCGGAGGCAGGCCCTGCCCAGAGTAGCAGAGCTTGCCACCTGCCTGGCTTGGCACCCACTCCCAGATGTCTGTCAGCCCCAATTGTAGAAATAAATTTTCTGCCAGGAGGGTAGGTAATCCATGAGTGGCCCTGCAATGAGAGGGGGGCAGGAGTCAGGGAGGCCACTGCCACCAGTTCATCAGCTCACATCTGCACTGCCAGCTGCAACTCCTGCCTTACAGACAATGACTCTTGAGCTCAGGGGAGCCAAGCAGTTTGACTGGCCAGTCATCTTCTTTAGTGGGATATCTACAAAGGCCCCTTCTCTGCCCCAGAATCTCCACCAGATGAGGCACCCTCCTACTATTCCAGGTCACGGAGGCAGGTGGAAGGTTGCCAGACAGACACAGAGATGGAGCCCATATACACCACAGGACATTCCACAACCCCCTGCCTGCCATGCTTACTCGCCACTAGGCCTACACCAGGGATGTGGTCCGTCAACAGCTGGAGTAGGAAGAGGATCTTGGCTCTGGATGGGGGAAGAGAAACAGCACACTGAGTAGGGGAGTGGCTCTCTGCACATCAGGAACTACAGGCCTTCACTGACCACCAGGCTCCCCAGAAGACAAAAGGCTGGGATGGACCCTAGTACAGCAGGGTCACACTGGCATTCTCTCTATCCAAACTACACCCATTATCCACAGCTGCTGGATTGGCAGTTTGCACACATCACGTTGCAGATACGCTGCTTCACTTTACTCTCTCTTCTCTCCTGCCTTCCTGCCATTGACATTCAATAACACAGTGTCCTAAGGCTCACACTGTAGTAGGATCTGTACCCTGGAAGGTTCTAGAGTGAGGTAAGCCTACCTGCGCTTGAGAGACTCAGGAAAGGCACACAGTGCTAAGGCCCCCTTGGCTCAGAGAGAGCCTTGCTATTTAAGATGGGGATTTCCACAGGGAAACTCAGGATGAGATATGACAATGCTGGTAACACTGAAAGAAATGGTAAGACAAAACATACGTGGGCTAGGGTACAACTTGGGTGACATACTTGTGTGAGGTCTTGGGCTTGACCCCCAACATTGGGCAAGGGACACCTAATGTTTACCACCAGCTCACTGTATACCACGCACCACCAAATGCGGTCAGTCTCCTGGCCCCTACAACAATCTGTCAGAATAACACCATCATTGGACCTATTTCATAGGCAAGAAGATGAACCCAGTAGTCTCAGCCCCAGCCCCTGCTCAGATACTCCACCACAGATCTGGCCTTACAAACAACTGCCCCAGCAGGCTTTTTTGGGAGATTTTTCTGTGGCTAAGGTGGGGCTTCTGGTCCCTTATAGGTGACCAGCATGGATTGGGCTCAGCAGTGACAGCGTGGCTGGGATCCCTGTTTAACTGCCTAGTTCCTTTGCTGTTTATTACCTGCTCTGAGAAGTGGGTAACAACCTATTGTGGAAGGGAGCTGGAGGTGGAAGGCCTGCATCCACCACTGATTGGGTGACCTCCTAGAAGTGCTCTGACCCTGCCCTCAGTGTCTCTCTTGCCAACAAGTGTTCACACTCACTCACACTCACACTGGTGGATGGTCTGACAGCTCTGAGGGCATGCCAGGTGGCACAGTGGGACAGTACCAGACCCAAAAGGTGCTCAGTTAAGCCCTCCCCTCTCCCTGCACATGGCCACCCCTGCTGATCTGATGACAGTCCTTACTCAGAGAAGCGGTCGTAGAATGGGGAACGCAGCAGGTAGTAGAGTAACATGATGGTGCGGCGCCGCAACTCCAGCCGCTCCCTCCGGGTCAGGCCCTTCCTGTCACTCAGGAGGCTCAGGCTGTGGGAAAGGCACATAATCAGGGACAAGCATGATATATGTCCCTGAGAGGGAAGGAGACTGGGAGTCCACAGGGATAGGTAGAGGCTGCTGGGGAAGGCCCTGGGCAAGGAGTGGAGCCACTGGCCCATGCTCACCTAGTCACGTCCACCACACCGGCGAGCAGCCAGGGTGTCCATGACTGCTGACCCCACAAGCCCAAGCTGAGCACTGACGGCAAGGCATCAAGGATGTCTCCAGTGTAGGGTCCAGCTCAATTCCTCCCCCACCTGCCCCTAGCCCAGCTAAGGATACAATGCAACAGTGGCCGGGTGATGTACAAAGACTCTGCAATGGTCTCCTGCAGCCCCAGGGGTGTTGGGGGTGTTCTCAGCTCCTCCTGCTGTTGTTTCTGACGTCCTTCCCGCTGTTGGGGGGCTCCCCAGTGCCTCGAGTGTATGGACGGACCTAGAACACAAGAATGACAGATGAGTAAGCCAGGTACCAAGGTGGACACTGATGGAAGCCAGTCTCTTGGGTTCACGCTGACCTCAGCACCTAGGGGCCCAGTCCAGCTACATTCTCCACTTACTGTTCTGGAGGGTTCGCACAACTCTGTTTGATCGCTTCCCCACATATGACTGCTCCTGGCTGCCCAGGCTGTGGTTGCCATCTAGCAGGGATAGACAAGCCATACTGTATGAGGGATACACTTCCAGCACAGCCTGCAGAGAATGTGCATACAGTGAATGCTCACGGGCTATAGAGAGAACACAGGGGCTTGTTCCTAAGGCAGCAGTTGAGCTGAGGAAATCACATCCAGAGGTTTTGGTTCAACAAGGTACCTGTCTACAGAGGGACATATTCTGGAATTCTCCCTGGCTCAGGGAAATGTCGGTATTATCCCCGGCCAAAACCAGCAAAGAACCTAGACTTCCAAAGCACTGGAGTCAGGCAGGGAGAGCCCAAGCACAGCTGTGGGGGCTATAGCACCACAGGGCCATATCTTCTCAATCCTTTACTTTCCAGGAGTTATGTCAGAAGCAAGTACTGTGCCTGCTCAAGGGGAGGGGCAGGCTTGAGGCTGACAAAAGGGTCCAAAGCTGCCAGCCTGCCTTCTGAGGCTGTGGCCTATGATACAGAACCAAGCTGAGACAAGGTTGGCAGCCCACCTACCTTGTGCTGATGTTCTGTCCCCTCTTCCTGCAGCACACAAGACAGAATGAGGACTTTGGTACCACAAGTTCCAAGTTCTTGGGGATGTAGCTCAGTGGTAGAGCACTTGCCTAGCATACATGAGGCCCTGGGTTTGATTCCCAGCATCACAAAATAAATATCCCCAACTTGATAAATAATCAAGTTCTGATTTTCCCCCAACCTAATCATACTTCTTGTCTATAGAATGGGTGATAAGCTGGTGGGACATGTACTCTGCCTACACATCCATGTTGGTTGGCTCCAAATCCAAATCCACAGATCAGTCCCATGCCCTGTTACACTCCACAGCAGAGAAGCAGCTTACCCGAGGGCTGTGCCTGGGCCTCCCTGTCCAGTGGAACAATGGGGGGTGAGGTCTGGATGCCAGCCTTGAACCAGATCAGCAGGAACATCCGGAGGACAGCCCTGGGTTGGGGAGTATGGCAGGGCTGGGGGACATGGCTAGAAAGCAGGGAGGAGGGCTGCTCTGCTGAGCACCCTTCTTATAGATGGCCTGGGTCACCCCACCTCAGTCCTGTCCCCCACAGTCCCACCTACTTGGCCAGCTGGATGAGGGCAACGATGAGCCAATGGCCCACTTCGCCCCAAACCTTGGCGGCCCCCATCTCCATGAACACCTCCACACATTCCAGCACGCTCAGCCATGTCAGCAGCTTCTGCTGGGACAGCGACTGCAAGAACCCAGAGGTCAGGGAGCCTCCCTACCCCAAGTGCTGTCTTATAGAAAGAGGGCCTCACTGGCAGGTATGGAGTTCCCCCTTTCCAAACTTCACCCTCATGTTCAAACACCCAATTCCAAGCTGGGTGGCCTGGGACTGCCTCTTGTACTACTGTCTCTTCCACTAAGGCTCATAAGGACCCAAGAATGTCTCATACTTGGGAGATTGTAATATGTGCCGTGTGCACAGGTTGGTCACCACTGCTTTGTTCCTGGGTCCCTGTTAGCCACCACTCCTTTGTTCCTCCCCACCCTCTGCTCCTGGCAGAATCCTCACCACAGGCAACTTTTTCCGGAGTTCCTTCCGAAGGATCCCGTCGTTGAGCAGCACAAGCAGGTTAGAGGCAGAGTATACTGAGGAACAGAGTGTGGTCTTAGGAGGCTGGCTCTATGCAACCTCCACCCTTCTCACCTTTCCCTCAGCTCCAGAGATCACTTGTCATAAGTACTCAGCCACCCACAGACTATGTGGAAACCAACCTGCCTCTCCATCCACTTCCTCAAGCCCCATCCTCCCCAGGATGACCTTGTGTGAACATCTGGACAAGTAAGAGACAAGCTGATTTCAGTGACAAACCAGTGCCTGCACTGCTGGACAGCACTGGTCACTGAGCTGCTCAGAACTGCTTGTCATGTACCAAATGGTCATTGGCCTGTTTCCTCACATCCTCACACTCCCTCCCTCTGCAGATTGTCCCCTGAAGGTCTAGACCATGTCTACTTTTCAAAATCCATCCTTTTCAGGACTGTCACCTCCAGCACTCACTGAGCAAACACTGCTGAGGAACTTACGGTGCTGGGATCCTGGATCCTGGGCGATCTGGATTTAAATTTGGTCCTGACATCAGTGCCTGTTTCCCAGCCTCACTTAACTTCTGTTTCCTCAACTAGATGGTGAGAACAACAGTGCCTCATACTTATAGAATGTTAAGTCATCCCTTAACCCTGAGCAAAACCCTGAGTGTACGGCCAGTCAAGGTCCTCACAAGTGTCTCCTGACCCTAGAAACACCAAAGGGCTTGGCCAGTAGACAGCTGAACCTGTCCCATTTGTTCATGGCACTGCAATCTAACAGGCAACCCAAGGCCCAGAGCCAGGGTGTCATGTCCTTTGCAAGCTCTCCCATGCCCAGGTCGCCCCCTCCCCAGCCCAGAATCCAGCTCACCCAACTCTGACAGCTCGTGAGAATCCGAGAAGCGACCTGGAGAAGAAGGTACACGAGGCGATTGTGGGCATTTGCTGCACCGTGCAGCTCCGGGTCCCCTACTTCCCCCTCCCTGTGTGCCACAGGAACCTAGGTAGAACTCAAGCTCAGCGGTTACTACTCGAGACTGCAAGGAGAGGGCCATCAGGGTCAGGGTCCCAAAGAACTGGATCAAAGGTCAGGGTGGCACCTGCCAGCAGGTAACTGAGGCCGCGCACTGCCGTCTCCAGCTGGGCCGTGGCAGCCGGGTGCCGAGTCACGTACTCCTGGTAGCGGAGGCCCAGGAGCCGCAGCTTCTCCATCCTGCTCAGGGCACCGACAGACCCCGGGCGCGGACAGACCCACGGACCCACAGGGCGACTGGCCGCGTAGCCCTGCTTCCTGCGCCCTCCTTCCTGCTTCCGGCCCTAAACCCGCCTCTCGGTTGCTCAACTTCCGCAGCCCAGGTTGAGAGTGACGCAGGCGCCTGAAGACGCCCCTTCACCCCATCTCTTGCGGCACCACCCCGCGGCCGGAGCCCGCCCTACCCGCTCCGTCCTGTCAATGGCCCGCGACGCTGGCTGAGCCGCGGGGACCCGGCTCTTCCGCCTTCTCGGTTGACTAGCCTGGAGCCTGCGCAGTGACGGCGCCGCGGCAGTCTGAACAGTTCTTGGTAGAGAGAAAGAGTACGAACCCTCAGGCTTTTCAGCAGATCGCCGAGAGGCTCGAACTATAAAGGGATTGGGCTGGAAAGCGCAGAATGGAGCTTCAGTCAGACTTGGGGAGGCATGGGTAGTCTCGAAACGGACTGTGTCTCAGCAGGGGCGCGTCTAGCCAGCCGCCCATAAAAACGGAGTTAACTGAGGCAGCAAGGAGGCAAGCCTAGCCTAGCAAGCAGATCTCGTGCCCTGACTTCGGTTCCAGCTCCCTCAAACCCACTGCTGGACCTCCAGGTCCGCGGATAGCACTCTGGCCCAGCCTTCTGCTCCCCGTAAGGGATGGATGACCTTGTGCCACACGCTTCCTGCTTTGCGCTTCGGTTTCCCCCTCTGTAAAATGGTTAAGAGCAGACTAGGTCCTTGAACTCGGAACGGAACTCAACATTTTCTACCTCGGATGCACCTCCCAACCCTCAACCGGGAGGGATGGGAGTAACTCTGGGATCCCTTCCTAAACAGGGTAGCGGCGTTGCAGAGGTGAACTGTGGGAACGCGCTCTGGGGACACAGCTGATTGGCTTTGAGAAGAGAGGCGTGGAAGATTGCACCAATAGGAACCGAGGCCGCGGATTTAGTGATCCTGAGATTTGTAACACTTTGTTTGCTTAATCCCCTTTACCAGATATTGTTTTAAGAGGAAAACAGGATATACTTAATAACGCCCAGCCAGGATGTTAGCTACATGTATGAAAATGTCAGAGTGAAACCCATTATTTTGTGCAATTAATATACGCTAATAAGTGCACGTTGCCAGGCGTAGTGGCACTGGCCTTTCATCCCAGCACTTGGGAGTCAGAGGCAGGTGGATTTGAGGCCAGCCCTGTCTACATAGGGAGTTCCAGGCCAGCAGGGCTACAGACTGATCCTGTCTTTTAAAAAATGCTCATAAAGCGGGGCGTGGTGGCGCACGCCTTTAATCCCAGCACTTGGGAGGCAGAGGCAGGCGGATCTTTGTGAGTTCCAGGACAGCTGGGGCTACAGGGAGACCCTGTCTCAAAAAGACAAAAAAAAAAAAACCTCATAAAGCAGCTGGAGAGATGGTTTAGGGGTTAAAAAATACTCATTTAAAAAATACATTTTAGGGATTGGAGAGGTGACTCTGCTGTTAAGAGCACTGACTGCTCTTGCAGAGGACTCAGGTTCTGTTCCTAGCACCCATGTGGCAGCTAACAAGCATTGGTAACTCCAGTTCTAGGGGATCTGATGCCTCTTCTGTCTTCACAAGCATTGCACACATGCAGTGCACCTACATGCATGCAGGCAAAACACTCATTCACATAAAATAAAACAATATAAATTTCAATTTTTTTTATCTGGGCGTGGTGCCACATACCTTTAAGCCCAGCACTTGGGAGGCAGAGACAGATGAATCTCTGTGAGTATGAGGTCTACATAGCCAGGTTCAGGCCAGTCAGGCTACAGAGTGAGACTGTCTCAAAAAATCCCAACAACAACAAAACCAACTTAAAATTTTTTTAATTTTTATTTTACATGTATGAGTATATTATTGCCTGCATGTATGTAAGTGTACCTGTGTCATGTATAGGATCCTCTGGAATTGTTAGCCACCATATGGGTGCTGGGAATCAAACCTGGGTTCTCTGCAAGAGCAGTTAGTGTTCTTATCCACTAAGCCATCTCTCCAGTTCCCATACCAACTTTTTAAATACTGGGCATGGTGGCACATGCCTGTAAGTAATCCCAACACTCAGGAGGCAAAGTCATAAGGATCTCTGCAAGGTTGAAGCCAGTCTGATCTCTGTAGTCAGTTCCAGTCCAGCCTGAGCTACAGAGTGAGACTTTGTTCATTTGTTTGTTTTTTAAGTTAAATAAAAAAGAATGGCTGCCACATCATGATTGGGATGATGGTTTAGTCTGGCCCAGAGCCTTGGCATTTAAAGTACCATATTAGATAGCCATACTTTCCTCCCCCTTTTATCAGCTGTGGAGCCATGCTCATTCTTGCCTGTTGCTTCTCCAGGAGAGAATAATAATAAAATAAAAATAATAGAAGAATAAGTGGTGAACAAACTAGATATTTTGAATTTTGCAATCTAAGCCTTCTTTAATTTTAACGAAGTCTACATTGTTTTTTTCTTTTTTCAATTTTAAAAAATATTCTATTTATTTATTATTTTTAATTTATGTGTATGCGTGTATGGCTTGCATGTAGGTAAGTGCACCCATGTTGTGCAATGCCCACGGAAGACAGAAGAGGCTGCTGGATCTCTTGGAACTGGAGTTACAGACAGTTGTTAGCTGCCATGTGGGTGCTGGGATTTGAACCCAGGTCTTCTGCAAGAACAACCAGTGCTCTTAACCACTGAGCCATCTCTCCAGCCCCAACAAATCCATTTCTTAAGTTGCTTTTTTGTCAGGTATTTTGTCACAGCCATGGGACTAGTAACTAACACAATAAACCTTTGTCAGGGTGGTAAGAACTCTTGTTCACAGATGGGTTATGAGAGGCCCAAGTACTTGGCCAAAGTAGCAGAGCAAGGCGCTGACCAAAAGGCCTGTGGCAGTGTCTTTTGGCCAGTAGGACTGTCACATATTGAGGCCTGTTAGCCATTGGGATTAGGACTTGGGCTCAGGGAACTGGGCAATATGTGGTTTTTCCTTTCTTCTACCTCACAGACTCAACGACTTTATTTCCCTTTGGCTATTCCTCCAGCCTCCTCTGCAGCTACAGAGTGAGGGTGTGCACATGTGGGCAAATACCCTTGCACAAGAATTCTCTACCATTCCCAAAAGTGAAAGTCTTGTGCTGTGGAGAAGGAGAGGCAAGGAGGACAGAGTGGTACACGGGACTCCACCCCTATCCCATCCAACCCCCCACCCCTACCCTAGGACAGAAAGTGAAGGGCACTGGAGCCTGTTTGCTCTGCTTCCCTCCAGGACAGGGGGATCAGGCCCAGCCAGGTTGGCAGCAACAGAGCTCTCTGAATTTCCTCTCTAGATCCTGAGCCTGATTAGACTTCAGAGACAAAGAACAGTTGTGTTATAGGCTGGCAGGTGGCCCCTCCCTGCTGGACCCCTGCCTGGGCCTGGCCACCCAGTTGGGCTGAAGGCCTCTGGGCAAATTGGACCCAATCCCCACTCCTTCAGTCTGCCCAAGTCACAGGGGAAGAGAGAAAGACCAGTTGGACAGGTACAGCTAAGGACACCAGAGGCCCAGGGAAGGGGCTGGACTGGTCCAAGGTCACTAAGTAAAGTGTTAGGGGGCTGGAGAGATACTCTGGGGTAAAAGCATGGATAAAAGCACTTGCTGCTCTAGCAGAGGACTCAGGTTCTGTTCCTAGCATCCAGATGGCAGCTCACAATCATATGTAACAATCGTATGTTCCAGAGGATCTGATGCCTTCTGGCACGTATTATATTCTTATATACATGCAGGCAAACACACACATAAAATAAAAATAATACATTTTAAAAAGTAAAGTCCTAGGGCCTGGTGTGGTGGCACATGCCTTTAATCCCAGCACTCAGAAGGCAGGTGGATCTCAGCACTCAGAGATGGAGCCTAGTCTACATAGGGAGTTTCAGGGCAGCTGGGGCTACAGTGAGATTGCCTCAAAAACAGCAGTAGTAGCAACAGCAGAACAAAAACAAAAAAAGTAAAGTCCTGGACAGAGCTGAACTAAATAGGGTCTAAGCTCCAGAGGACCAAAACTCATGTCTCTCCCAACCCCCAAGACTCCAGAACAACTCCTTGAGGGCCCAGCATCTCAGCCCTTTCTCACCCCCGCCCCGGGTGCTCCCCCTGTCCTGGAGGGAGCAATGATGAGTGATCACAGTGGGATCTGCAGACCCAGGGTCTCCACTCACCTCTCTTTATGGAAGACTTAACTTGGACTAGACCCTACCTGTGATCCCCCTCCCTCCACCTGCCCTTTCACATTTAACTCCCACAAACCATCTCTGTTGAGGGCCCCATCCCAACGGCAGACTGAAGATGGAGACAGACGCTGGAACTCAAAGCTCTGGACACCAGGGTTTTCTCTCAATTTCTAGAAGTAGGAGGAGCTACCATCGGTCTCCATAGCAACGTTACTCCTGGCCTCCAAAGACCCATTGGCTGAGCCCATCTCTGAGAGAAAGGCATCCTGGCCACCCAGGGGAGGAGTCAGTCCCAGGCTGCTGTTTGTGGGTTGGCCTCACATTTTATAGTTGGACTGGGCTAAAGGGCCCAGCCTGAGCCCCAGGTGAGGCCCAGTGGAGTACTTAGAGGGCAGGTTCTCATTCCCACCCACTTTCCACACAAACTGAGCACTTGGAATGTGTGCCCCCGGGGACCCACAAGACATGACAAACAAGGTATCTTGAGCAAGAAGACAATAAACAGGCAACTTCAGCTTCCCAAGAGGAGCTAGGAAGAAGATAAGCAAAGGGATGTGGAAAGATATATCTACATTCCAGGCAGAGGGAGAGTCAAGGACAGGACCCGAGCTAGAAAATCCTTAGGTGAAAGAGTTCTGGGGAAGGGGAAGGAGCATGCTTCCTGGACTGGAAGGAGCCAGAGGGACCTCTTGTGGGACAGGTTGCTTTGACACTTGGGGCAGAACCCAGTCTTGTGTTCCTGGATTGATGTTAGCTCAGGGCCTGGCACGAAGTACGTGCTCGGTGGACTATAGCGCTTCTCCTTCACAACCCAGCACGCCTCCAGGCTCCCAGGCGTGCCAGAGACACGCTGAGAGGAGAGGAGGAGCGAGGAAGGGGCCAGACCTTGAAGCACAATCCCAGCACTCTAGCCTAGGCAGGGGATCCCCAGCCCTGCCCAGGTGGCAATAAGGCCCTTCGCCAGCTCTCATGAGGGAGGTGGCCTTCAAAAGTGCGCTCTTGCCCTGGCCGCTCCAGGGCACGGCTGAGCCACCTGGACTAAGGGTCAGGGAAGAAGGTGGAGAGTCCCGGAGAAGCGCGGCTACCAGCAGGTCTCCGCAGGTCTCGCCCTGTCCCAGACCATAGCAGGTGTCTCCGACCCCTGTAGCCCAACATTCCGATCCCATCCCCCTTACTCCGTGTGTCCCTTTGATCCCGAGCCCGGGATCCTTAGGAGGAGGAAAGGGGCGGGGAGGTTCCAGAGCCAGGAGGGGGGATGGGCTGAGGGCAGGTAGCGGGGACGGGGCCTTGCTGGAAAGCTGTCCCCACGGACTTCAGCTCTCCCAGAGTTTTGGTGGAAACCGTCCGGAAAAAGGAGTTTCAGGTTCCCCGTGGGCTGCAGGGCCGTCGGAAGCGAGGCAGGGGCGGGGTCAGGCTCAGGGGTCTCCCCGCCTCTTCGAGCTCAGCCAAGCGAAGGTGAAACCTGAGCCCAGGTTGGGGGCGGGGCCGGCTGGCGCCTCTGCTCGGGTCCCCGCAGCCGGGAGGCTTCTGGAGGAGCTTGGCCTGCCCCGAGCCGCAGGAGCAGGTGAGGGCGGCGACTGAGAGCAGGGAGGACACCGGGCTGGCTGCCGTCGGGCCCCGCGGCCCAGCGCTGACCCTCCTCTCCTCCTCCGTCCGCAGGGCCAGCGATGGAGCCCGCAGCCCGGGGTCGCGCCCCGCCCTGAGCCCCACAGCCAGCCATGCTGCCCCGTGGGCGACCCCGGGCACTGGGGGCCGTCGCGCTGCTGCTGGTCCTGTTGCTGTTGGTCGGGTTCTTCCTGTTCGGAGGGGACCCCGAGTGTGAGCGCCGCGAGCCCGGTGGGAAGCTGGGGGCCTGGGTGTGCCTGCTGCCTCCTCACGCCACGTGTCTTTTTAGACGGGCTGAGGGCAGCTGCCTCCATTGATGAAGACCCGCACCGCAACCACAACCTCTCTGCCTCCGTCCTGCAGCTGCCACTGTCACCCAAGTGCGAGGTAGGTGCACGGCCCCTAGTGCTTGCCATCCCCAGGGCTCGGTGCCCCCAGCACTTCCAGCTGGGCACCTGTGGGAATCACAGCACCTGGCATCTGACCTGACACAGGGCTGCCTTTCGCTGCCATTCCCCAGGGCTTGGTGCCCTCAGCCCTTCCAGCTGGGCAGCTGTGGGAATCACAGCACCTGGCAGTAGGTCTGGCATTAGCCATACTGCTGTGAACACCTGGAGTATGAGCCTCCTCTACTTCTGATTGCCCACTGGTGAAATGTGGGTACACTGCTCTAAGCCAGGACTGCTAGGCTGGAGACTGCTGTTAACCTGGGTGCCCCCTTCCAGCTCTTGCAGGTGGCCATTGTGTGTGCAGGATACAACTCCAGCCGAGAGGTCGTCACCCTGGTCAAATCAGTGCTGTTTTACAGGTACAGCCAGGTGTCCTGAGGAGGGTCAGGAACAGGGAGGGGACAAAGCCTCCTGGGCACTGGTTTCCTCCTCTGTGACATGGGGACAGATAAGGAAACTGAAGCCCTCTTCCTATGAATGGCCATCAAAACATCCCCAGAGCTCTTTGCAGGAGATGAACATCCACCTTTGGGCCTGTGGGGATAATCCTGTGCCGGCCTGTCAGGTTTCCTCTCTCCATCCAAAAGGAAAAACCCCCTACATCTCCACCTGGTGACTGATGCTGTGGCCAGAAGCATCCTGGACACACTCTTCCGCACGTGGATGGTGCCCGCTATGGTGGTCAGCTTCTATGATGCTGAGGAGCTCAAGGCAGGAGTCCCCACTTCTGCAATTCTGCTCATATGGGCCCACCCTCTTCTTACTCCCAGCAGTGGGGGGTGGGGGTGGGATAGGAGAGGTGGGGCCCTGTCCCATCACACCTCCAGGAGCTCAAATTCCTCTTTTTGGGGGTCCTCAAGTGCTTTCCACTCTGCCACTTGGTATGTTCCCACCTGTAGCCACTGATTTCCTGGATCCCCAACAAGCACTACTCTGGCTTCTATGGACTAATGAAGCTAGTGCTTCCCAGTGCCCTACCTCTCAGCCTGGCCCGAGTCATTGTCCTGGACACGGATGTCACCTTTGCCTCCGATATCGCAGAACTCTGGGCACTCTTTGCTCACTTTTCTGGTGAGATGCCTGAGACCCCTGGCCTAGCCAGGTTCACCTCACCAGGTTCCCCTCCCCAGCTTACCCAGCCCTCCCGTCCGCCATGGTCTAGCCCTAAGTCCACATCCCCAGGTAGCCTTGGGCAGCACCCTAATGTCCTCCCCTCCCAGATGAGCAGGTGATCGGTCTCGTGGAGAACCAGAGCAACTGGTACCTGGGAAACCTCTGGAAGAACCATAGACCCTGGCCTGCCTTGGGCCGGGGATTTAACACAGGTGGGGATTGTGGTGGGGGAGGTGAGAAGGTGGACTGCTGGGGCTTTGGGGTGGGGCAGGTAATGGCACAGAATGCTAGGAAGCTTCCAGGAAGAGCTCTGCCAGTGCTGTGAAACGGACATGAAGAAAACAGCTCCACCTTGGCTGTCTGTACTGAATGACTATGGCCAGTGCATTCATTCTTTTGTGACTCACTTTCTCATCTATGACACGGGGAGAGTTAAGATAGCCCTGGCATTACCAAGTGAGAGACGGTGACTGTGTAGGGAGGGCTGTGGAAGCTGTGTAAAGCACCTCCTCTCTACCCTAGGGAATTATGGGGTGATTATGTCTGAACCATCAGAAGATACAGTCCTGCGTTAACAATGGGGACATGTTCTGAGAAATTTGCCATTAGGCAATTTCATTGCTGCACAAACACCACAGGGTGTATTTATGAAAACCTAGAATGAGTAGCTTAGCATTCACTAGGCTGTTGGTGTGACTTGTGCTTCCAGACCACAAACCTGCACAGCACACGGTACTGGATAAGAGGCAATGGTAACAATGGCAAATATGTGTATAGCTAAAAGTGGAAGAGGCATAGGAAAAAAGCTAGGTAGTGGTTTTATTTTTTGATAGGGTCTCATGCAGTCTCGGCTGGCTTTGAACTCACTATATAGCTGAGGATGACCTTGAACTTCTGATCCTCCTGCCTCTGCTGCCCCACCTGGTTTATGCAGTGTTCTGAATCTAACCTATTGCTTTATGCATGCTAGATGCATGCATAAACAGAGCCACATTTCCAGCCCTAAGTGGTAGTTTTTTATTATAATCATGGTACCACCATAGTGTATGTTTTATGGTTGACCAAAGCACCATTAATCAAAGATATGCAGCTGATGTGTTCTGGTAATCCCAGTTACTTTGGGGGCTAAGGCAGAAAGACTGTAAGTTCAAGTCCAGCCTGGGTAACTTAAAGAGACCTTGTCTCAAATTTTTTTAAAAGGGCTGGGGGTATAGCTCAGTGGTAGAGGAAATGTAAAGTCCTGGGCTCATCCTACTACTAAATAACAAAAAAAGATTCCTTCATGATGCCTAGCCCCCAAGAGTTGGCTGTCCCTAGTGGGCACAGCAACCTTTTCCCATTGGTAGGTGTGATCCTGCTGCGGCTGGACCAGCTTCGTCAAGCAGGCTGGGAGCAGATGTGGAAGCCAACTGCGAAGCGAGAGCTCCTCACTCTGTCTGCCACGTCCCTGGCTGACCAGGTCTGTAGAAACCTTTGTGGGAGCAGGGCTGAGGGGCACAACTGGGGACTGAGATGTGATGGCTGTCTCTGCCAGGACATCTTGAATGCTGTCATTAAGGAGCACCCAGAGCTGGTACAGCCCCTGCCTTGTGTCTGGAACGTGCAGCTGTCAGACCACACGTTGGCCGAGCGCTGCTACCTGGAGGCAGCTGACCTCAAGGTAAGTGAGATCTGGGACTGCCGAGTGTGTGTATGTGGCAGGGGAGGTGCACAGGATGGAGACTCTTGCTCCCTTTCTGTTCTCAGCCCTCTACTGATACCCTCCTGGGTCCCAGGTGATCCACTGGAACTCACCAAAGAAGCTGCGGGTGAAAAACAAGCATGCAGAGTTCTTCCGCAATTTGTACTTGACCTTCCTGGGATATGATGGGAGGCTGCTGCGGAGAGAGCTCTTCGGGTGTCCCAGCCAGCTGCCACCTGGGGCTGAGCAGGTGAGGGGGGCATCTTGCCTTGCCTTGGGGAGGCCTTGGCTCTCTGTGCTCTGATGGGCCTTGGCTAGGGGCCATGTGGTCCTGTGTCAACCCTGTTCCTTCTGTCCCTGGATCCCCCTCAGTTGCAACAGGCTCTGGCACAGCTGGATGAGGAAGACCCCTGCTTTGAGTTCCAGCAGCAGCAGCTCACTATGTATCGTGTGCATATCACCTTCCTGCCCCACCAGCCGCCACCTCCTAGGCCTCATGATGTCACCTTGGTGGCTCAGCTCTCTATGGACCGGTGAGGGTGCTAAGGCAGCCCTGGGTAGCAGAGCATGGATTGTGACTGGGGAGATCAGAGAAAAGCCTTTCATTGGGTAGCCTGATGCTGAGGTAGTCTGTTCCTGGAGGAATCCCAGAAGTTGGAAACATTAGGGATGGTGAAAAGAGCTTAAACTTTGGAGTCTTTCTGTTATCTAGAACTGCCCCTGAGGTGCTGTGGGATTGTGGACAAGTCTCAATACTTCAGGCTTCTAGTTTGCTCAGCTGTTAAACGAGGACATACTGAGCTGGGAGTGGGGGGGGGGCAGTTGTGAAGATTAAAAGTGGGGGAGGTCAGCAGCAGCTAACTTTGGAGAGGTTTTCTAGCCATCCCTGGGCTTCTGTTCGTGAGGGTCTGAGCTGGGCTGACCACCCACCTTCACCCAGGCTGCAGATGCTGGAAGCCTTGTGTAGGCACTGGCCAGGCCCCATGAGCCTGGCCTTGTACCTGACAGACGCAGAGGCCCAGCAGTTCCTGCATTTTGTGGAGACTTCGGCGGTGCTCTCTGCGAGACAGGATGTGGCCTACCATGTGGTGTACCGGGAGGGTTCCCTCTACCCAATCAACCAGCTCCGCAATGTGGCCTTGGCCCAGGCCCTCACACCTTACGTCTTTCTCAGTGACATTGACTTCTTGCCTGCCTACTCCCTCTACGACTACCTCAGGTGGGCCTGGAGGGTAGGAGAGGCGCAGTACCTGAGGTGGAATGCTGTCAGGGTCGGGGCATCTTGGGAACCCTAAGTTTCTGTGTCCCCACTCCTTTCTGGGGTTCAGTGGCCTCTGCAAAATGGAGATTATATTAGGCCCTTTTCTTGGCTGTCACTGAGTCAGGGAGGTGAGGCCTTGCCTCCCTGTGGCCAGTGCACTGGAGGTAGCAGCGTTCACTGTCTGAAAGGTAGGTCCTGTGGCTGAGCAGGGGTGAGACCCCTCAGTTTTGAGTTACATCTCTCCACATGCTCTTCCTCAGGGCTTCCATTGAGCAGCTGGAGCTGGGCAGCCGTCGGAAGGCAGCTCTGGTGGTGCCTGCATTCGAGACCCTGCACTATCGCTTCAGCTTCCCTACCTCCAAGGCAGAGCTGTTGGCCTTATTGGACGAAGGCTCTCTCTATACCTTCAGGTAGGAATGGCCATGCTCGGCCCTGCTGTTCCCAGCTGGGGCACCCCACCCCCACCCCCATGAGCTCAGGAGCGCCTAGCCTCAGTCCTGATCTGGCCTAATCATGCTGCACAGGTACCACGAGTGGCCAAGGGGTCACATGCCCACGGATTATGCCCGTTGGCGGCAGGCCCGGGCACCATACCGTGTGCAATGGGCAGCTGACTATGAGCCCTATGTGGTGGTACCACATGATTGTCCCCGCTATGATCCTCGCTTTGTGGGCTTTGGCTGGAACAAGGTGGCTCACATCATAGAGCTGGATGCACAGGTGAGGACTGCGCCTTGTTGGCTGCTATGATCTGAACCCTCTGGGTAGGCACTCTGACTCTCCCTGGTGGGCTGCAGCACAAGCCTGTACTTAGGCTCCTACAGGCCATTACTAAACTTGCTCTCAGAGCTGTGATCTCCCCCTGGCTCAGCCCTGTCCCCTTTTGTAGGAATATGAACTTTTGGTGCTGCCTGAGGCCTTCACCATCCATTTGCCTCACGCTCCAAGCCTGGACATCTCTCGCTTCCGCTCTAGCCCCACATATAGGGACTGCCTCCAGGCCCTCAAGGAGGGGTTCCACCAGGACTTGTCACGTCACTATGGGGCTTCTGCTCTCAAATACCTCACTGCCTTACAGCAGCCCCGAAGCCCAGCCTGAGCTCACCAGGCTGCCCCTGGCTGTGGCTCACATTTCCTGCAGACATTGGTGCCTCTCCTCTCCCACCCCACCGACACCACTGCTATTTAAATTATTTAAGGTTTTGGTGGGTAGGACTGGAGCATGGGGGGTGAGGGGAGAGTGGTCCTGGCTCCTTCCCTGCTGCTGTTCCACAGCTGCGGTCCAGCCCTCCTTTGCCCCAGCTGGTCTGGGGCTGGTTCCCCATCCTTTTTTATAATAAAGTTTTAAAGAACTACTTTCATGCTCTGGTTTGTGGGATCAAGAGCTCTCAGGGTCCAAGGGTATCAGTGAGCAATGGAAGGGTGACTCTAGCTGGAGTCTCAGGACAGTCTGAACCCTCAAGGGTCACAGTCCCTCTGGGTCCTTCCCAATCAGACTGGAGTGGAGAGTCTTGCCCACACCCACTACCCACCCCCAAGCCCAAGCCCAACACCAGGAGGCTGAGAGACTTTATTTGGCTTTATTTAGTAAAATGTTAAAATAAATAAATACAAATTGATCAGCTGCTCTGTATACCCCCCCACCCCCTCAAAACAAAAACCAAACAAATAGAAACAAAAACTTTGAAGCACAAAACTCCAAATACAAGTTCTACCAAGACTGAAATCACAAAGGGCATGGACAAGAGACAGGACTAGGGTCTGGCTGGCTCTCCTATGCTTAGAGCTTGCTGACCTCTGGCCTGCCGGCCCACCTGCCTGATTACAGCTCACCCTGGGCTGAGCAAGGACACTGGAGAAGAGTGCAGGGGCCAAGGCTGCTGTGAGGGAGGGACTCAAGCTGCTCCTCTGTCTCAATAACTACTGTTAAGAGAGCCACCCTGGTTCTCGGGACCATTCATTCTTGGGGAGGCGGGGTGCAGAGGAGTCTTCCCAGTGGCCACCCACCACCTTGGAGAGGAATTGACAGGAGCACGGGCTGAAGTTGGGTGAGAAATGAGACTCCTGGTTTCTTACCAACAGTACCCAGATGAGGGGTAGGGCAAGGTCCACAGCCATTTACATACAGCAAAGTGGCTTATATCCAACAGAAGCCACAGGGTCTGAAGAACCCAGTGTCTAGAAAAGGTCCTGGGCCACTGGCCCATCCTACTTCCACCCCTGGTGGGAGAGTCCTTGGAGTTCAGCCCTTTAGTTAAGAAGGACCATACCCAAGAAGGGAAGAGACCACTTGGGAGTGCGAGCTGAGGCCTGGTAGTGAGAGCCCAGTAGTGAGTGATGGCGAGAGGAAGCATCAAAGAGCTGGTAGAGAGGCAGCGGAACATGCAGAGAGACAGGAGCCAGAAATAGTCACCCAGGGGCAGTGGAGTGCACATGCCCCCTCCACACTCCTGCTGGGCCTGAGGCAAGAGGCAGCAGAGACAGAGCCTGCAAGGAAACCAGTACTAAGATGGGCCCTGCCGGAGGCTGCCCAGGTGGGTGTCACAGGCTCTGGAGGCAGGCCCTACACAGATGAAACCAGGGGCTGTCCCTAGCCGAGTCTTCCCTGTCAGGTGCCACTAGCAGGCTTATCCCTAGGGGCCTGATAAGGAAGAAATGAGAACTGGATGAGTTCAGAGGAGAGGCAAGACCCAGTAGGCTTCAGGAAAGAGTAAGGACCTGCAGAATGGAAAGGGTAGGATGACCTCATAGCAGACATGCTGACTTCACTGCCTTCAGGGTCTGCTCCTGATCAGACAGGATTAAGGGACTCCCAGCAAAGCTAGCATAGGAGGCCCAAGAGCAATAACCTGCAGGCTGGGGAAGGAAAGAGGAAGAAGGAAGTAGAGGCAGCTCCAGAGGGCCAGTGTGGTGTTTGTCCCAAGGGATTCACAGAAACTCACAGGTCTGGGGGGACAGAAAGGAGCTCTGTGCTCCACAGAACAGGGAAGAACAAGCAGATGGAATGAGCAGGGTAGAGCAGAGCTTCAAAGCTGAGCACGCCATGAAGGCTTGGGCAGGGCTACATTTTGTACGCCACACCAGATGACTCAGCAGCCCAGTCTTGTGTGTTGTACCCCACACTGTTCAGCTCTGGCCTGTAGTGATGTTGACTTCCCAACCTTTCCTGCAAGGGTAGGCATTGTGTGGCAAGCCCCAACCAGCCTATGGGCCAAGACGAGGGTGGAGACGACATCAGTCTGCTGCTGATCTCTGATCCTTTGCCAACGATTCCTCCAACTAGTCCGGACATCTCCACAGCTCCCTAACTAGACTTAGCACCTTAGTTTCTGGATGAGAAAAGAGAGCTCTTCTCTGCTTCCCTCAGTCAACATGACTCCCTTGCACCCTGGAAAGATGAACGAAGTGGCTGGTTGGGTGGGCTTCATTAACTCTCAGAAGCCCTCCTTCTCTCTTGTACTCACTGTCAGGATCTAGCTTTTTCTCCTTGGGCCTAATTGAGCAAGGGAGAAGTGCAAAGGGGCCTTTCTTGCTGTTCCTAGAATTCTCTATTAGGGCGGCTACAAAGAGATGCTGCCTTTGGAACAAGGGGACAGAGCCTAGGCTTCCATCCCTTTAGCCAAGAGAATGCAGTGGACAAAGGTCTCCAAGTGAGAGCATACCATCTCAAGGGCTCACTTTCCCCATGGCATTATGGGAGATGATCTGAGCCTTTCAGAACCAAGTTTTCCAAGAAAGGCCACAACAGGCCAAACAAGGCAAGCTTAGTGATTCTAGCCCAGGGTCACCCTGGAAGTGTGTAGATGGGTGGGATGGGGGTGAATTCTGACATTAGTGCCAGTAGGCAGAGGACAGTGGAGCTTCAGACCTCTCCGTTCAATGCAAGACAGACTTGAAGACCACCTGGGCTCTCAGAGACACATGGACCCTCAAGATATCTCCCTCCTTCCTCGTTCTGATGCAGCTAGCCCACAGCCCTCCTCCTCCTGGAGGCCAGTGCACGGGCAGCGAAGCCTCACAGCTTGGTCCCTGGAAGCAGCCCCCCCCCTCAACGCATAATGCTGGTGGCTGAAAGACAACGGAGAGCAGCACCAAAGGAAGGGTCTTGTTTAGGCACCAGCCTTCCCTCTAGCAAGATCTGAGACCCTGGGGAGGCCCTGACACCATGCACATTCCACCTGGGCTTCAAACACAGGAGACAAGATCCCTGTACAGGCAGCACAGTCTGTTCTGAGAAGGGAGAAGGCGGGAGGACCCGGTCCTTCCTGGAGACTGGCCCACCAGTCTAGAGACACAAACACAGCAAAATGTCATGATCAGCAGGTTCTGTGCTAAAAAATTATAACTACACAGCATTTTCTCCAGTTCTGACACCTTTTTAATAGAAATCACTGTTTTTAGGAAACAAATAGCACTTTTGTAATTGTTTTTACAATGTTTCTTACCTTGATCTTAATTTAAGTAACACTAGGAAGACCTCAATATCTTTTATTTTCCTTTTTAATTAAAAAAAAAAGTTGCTGTTGTTTTCCCCAGATACAAAGATTTTTGCCCTTGCATAAAAAAACACACAGTGCCCGAATGGTGACACAGGATGCACAGACTCACTGACCTCACCGACACCGACTGCTACTCTACCATGCAAGGTCTCGCTACCTCAACAGGACCGTCAGCCTGAAAAACAACTTTCTATTCCTTATTTTAGTTCTTGTTACCAAAAAAAAAAAAGCAAAATAAACAACAAAATGAAACTTTGTTTAAAGAAAACAAGAACAGAAACAAAAATAAAATATTTTTAAAAAGAGAAGAAAGGAACGTCCATTCGATTCACACACACCTGGGTCGCGTGTTGCTTCGCTCAGAATCTTCTTATAAATATAGAAAAGAGATGGAGCTTGTTTTCAAGTAAGATCACTGATCCGCCTTTCTCTGTCCTGGACCACACACACTCCCTTCCTTTCCGGCCTTGCCAAGGCCAGCAGGGCCTGGTTCTCTGAGAGGGACAGGGGATCACCTGGGGCTGCGTACTATACCAAGCAGGGGAAAGGGGCTGCTGGAGGCTTCGGAGGGAAGGCGCCCCCGAGGCAGGAGCAGAGCTGGGAGGAGGACCTAGTGGCTGCATTGTCTGTCTCTCCTTATACTAGGCCGCCCTCCAGACAATATTAAATACTGCTTATGTGATAGACTTTCCCACCCCCTGCTCCCTCCCACCCCCTCCCCTTCCCTCTTCTGGGCACTGGGGTTAGTTAAATCTCAATTTCCTTTTTTTTTTTTTTTTTTTTTTTTTTTTTTTTTTTTTTTAAGGAAAGCCCACACACTCTTTGGACTTGTCTTCTCTACCTAAACAAACGTCTCGGCAAGTAAGGATCTGGAACCTGCCCTCCTCCCTCCGCCCGTCCCTGCTCCCCCCCCAACACAACAAAAACAAACCCACCGTGGCTGTGGAGGCTGCTGCAGGCACACACTGGTGTAGAATAGAGAGAGTAAATATATTATTTCACTTGGCATGGTGCTGGCAAAGAACCTCCAGCTGGCACTATTTCATGTAACATGGTCCAATCTTTGCATGTACACAGAATAAGAAGGATCAATTGGCAAACTCGGGTGCCACCTGGCACAAGCATCTTCTCTCTCTCTGGAACCAAAGAACCAAAAGAATTCTGTACTTTCCAGAAGAAATCCGGCTTTACTTCTCTAGAGTCTTCAGTGTTTTGCTCTCCTCGCGCTGGAATCCCGAGGCTTCTCCTCAAGGACTGTTATTTAGTCTCTTCCCCCTGGTTACAGTTTGCTGTGCAGCTCTGCGAGGAGGGGGACGGGGCCGGCGTGGAGGAGGTGGTGTTGGCAGGGGGGGTGCAGTCTGGACCATTGGAGATGGCCCCCACACTGGCCTCAGAGTCCACAGGTTTGGAGAGGTCGATGCCATGGATGAGGCGAATGAGCTGTTTTACCTTTTCTAGGGAGCTGTGCATCTCCTTCTGCCGTGCCAGGATGGTGTTCTTCATTTCTATGCATTTCTGTAGTCAAGACAAGGGCAGGGCGCTGAGCCTCCTGCTTCCCCAATGGCCTGGAGGCTCCTCAAGGGAGGAGGCTCCCATAACCAATCCCCATGGGCTGCTGTGCAAGCCCTACAACTTGGTTCTGTTTCACCTGGTGTGGGTACCACTGCTGAAGGGTAGGGAGCTTATAAGAGGCAAGAGATGGGGACAAATAGGCCAGGCTAAGCCAACTCTACCTGACTTTAGCACTCACAATCAAACTTGAACCCCTCACACACTATGACACAAAAGTCATCACAAAAGCTGCTCTGAAGCTGGGCAGGTATTACGTGTTTCTGCCTTGCCCACAGTGGCCCTTAGGAGAAGACTGAGCTCTTCAGGTCAGAAAAGAAGTCAGTGACAGATATGGATATGTGGGTTGAACTTTAGGGTCTATGGAGGATCACTTGCTCACTCCAAATTTAGAGGTAGGGCCTGGGTGGGCCAGTGTTGTGTAGAGAACCTGAGACCACCCAAGGCCAAAAGACTAGTCAACTGGTCCCTCTTGCTTGGTCACCTACTTGCCGTCTTACCCTTAGCTCCCCACAGCATCTGGCTTCCATTAGGTAAGAATAGCTATTAAATCTGAGGGCCACAGGTAGGTATAGCCAGGAAGAAAAAGCAGGTGAGCGAGAAAACTCAACTGCCTCCCCCAGTATCTATGAGAGCTGAGGCCACCTCACTCTAACAAGGATGACCTATTCAATGGAAAAGAAAACTTGCTCCTGTTTGAAAGGGCTCAGTGCCACCCCGCAACCCTGCTGCAAATATAGCCCTCTCCCCAAAGTGGATGGGTCAGCCTAGGCAGTATCTCCCACACTTGTTTCTAGAAAACTCACTTTCTCACATGGGCCAGGAAAACACAAGGAAGTAAAAGAGGGGCCACAGGTCAATAAATCAGGTGTCTAGGAGTCACATGATGGGGCCTGGCCGTGTCTGCCCAGGGCTCTGCGCTCCCCAAACCTGCAGGAATAACTAGGCTTGGGGTGGTACTACAGTGGCTGCAGCTGCTACCTGACCTCTGGGCCTCTTCAGCCTGGAGAATGAAAACCTCTCAGACTGCAGCCACGAAGGCACTCCATCCAGAGCTTGGGTAAGGCACTGTGTACCCATGGCCATGACAACCTGAGGGCTGCACTCTACTGAAAGGAAAACTCGGTGCTGCACTTACTAGGACGAGGAGGAGCTATGGCTATGCCTTAGTGTTGTGTGTCTGGCACTGAGGAAGGGACAGTGACTTACGCTTATGGAACTGCTGAGCTGTTTCACCTTCTGCTCTAATTGTTCCCGTTCTTGCTTTAAATCTGAACTCCATTTAAGAAGCTTCTGTTTCTCTTCTTCTTTTGCTGGGGGGTGGGAGGAAAAGTTTTTAATGATTAATTTTTTGAAAGGGGCTTCTGTGCTCAGAGAGTTTGCCAGAGAAGACACTGTCCCCCAAAGCGCCCTGCTAACCCCCAATCATTCAGGGCACAGGGCCTGTCCACCTGGGAGGCTTGGCAGGCTTCACAGGCATAGGCCACCACACTTCCCAGTTTCCTTCTCAAGAAGGTGGCACACAAACTTTTCACTTCTTTCAATAAAGGCCCATTATTTTCTTTTAAAATCAAAAACAATCAAAGCATTGCCTTCCAATGACTTGTTTAGGAAGGCCAGCCTTACCAAAAAAGTACATGGCTAATCATTTACCTGCTTTGTAGGCAATATAGGAATGAACAATTGCTAAAGTTCCAGGCCATGGAATTGCTTCTTCCTTCTTCAGCATCTGAAAAGAATTTTAAAATTTTACCTTGAAGAAAAAGTCTGTGGCCACCAGTAGACAGGGTGGAAGTTCCAAAGCTCAGCTCCAAAGCTCAGCCTGGCGGACTGAGGCAGCCTCTAAGCCCAGGCCTTAGAAAGGACCTCAGGTGAGCATTCCAGTCTCCTCATAAAAGCCACATGACCCCAACCACCTGAGGGAACCAGCAGCCCTAAAGCTGCATGCCAGCATGATGCAGCTACCACAGGCCCTTCTGTCTTTAACTTGATATGAGCTGCCTATCTCAATTTTAGCTTTGTATGTCCTGTAAAAACCTCTTCACCAGTCAGGCATGGTGGCACACGTCTTTAATCCCAGCACTTGGGAGGCAGAGGCAGAAGCAGACAGATCTCTATGAGATCAAGGCTAGCCTGGTTTATATTGGGAGTTCCAGGCCAGTTGGGGCTACAGGGAAACCCTGTCTCAAAAACGAAAAAAAAAAGCCAAGGGGGGAGAGTCCAAGACCAACATAAGTGTGCTACACACCTATAAGCTCAGCACTCAGGAGGCTGAGGCAGGAAGGTTCAGGTTCAAGGCCAGCCTGGGCTACAGAGAGATCCTGCCTCAACCAACCATGGGCTTGGGATGTACTGGGATGTAGTTCAGTGGCAGAGTGTTCGCATAGCATGCACAAGGCCCTGAGTTTGAGCCCCAATGCTGCAAAAACAACAAAAGGAAAAGGATAAAAGGGAATATCAAAATTCTCTCTAACCAGGATTTACTTTTTAAAGAACTGAGCAAGATTTCAAAACATGGCTGGTGCTTGGGCTTATTTTTCGGACTTTGCTTGCTTCCAAAAGACCTGAGACAGCTTATAATAAAATCTTATAAAGATAAACTGGGAGTGAGAAAATGAGGCCAGGAACCAGAGACAGGAAGGAGGCACTAATACGCATGCGTAAAACATTTAAGTCTGCAATATCAAGAGAGGGCTATGTAGTTTGTTCTCAGAGCCTGATGACAAGAATTGAAAAGTGAACTTGCTGTTACTTGAATTAATCAAATGAGCCCTTGCCTTTAAGGATTTTATCTCCAAAGAAGGGTTCTAAACTATATGCTAAGTTTATAGCATTCTTAGAAAATTAGGCAGAATGAACTTTTGAGGGTCTTGCCTTATTTATTTATTTTTGCTTTGTATTGTTTTTTCAGTCTCACTATGTAGCCCAGGCTGGCCTTGAACTTGTGATTCTTCTGTCTCAGTCCCTTAAGTCCTGGGATTATAGATGTGTGCCACTATGCTTGGCTGAGTCTGAACTTCTAAAAGGAAGATAAGCGATTTCAGATAAAAGCAGAAGTTAGTACAGCAGGGAACCTGTGAGGGAACGAAGGCAGTGCTCTTTGTCTGCATGCGTTGCCATGAACCAGGAAGATAGGGCCTGCAGAAGAACGGCTGGGAGAGAGAAGAGAACCCTGCTCCCAGGCTCAGAGGGAACAGAGTCCCGGTGGCACTGTCTTTCTCCTCCTTGGCCCCTCATGTGTATGGCTCACAGTACCTGGTCCTGACATCTGGGGCAGATCCACATGCCCTTGGGAATTGCTTTTAGAGGTGGGTCTAAACAGTCCAGATGGTACACACGGGAACATGTGTCGCACATCAGCAACTGGCCACTTTTTCTGCAAACACTGCAAAAATCCTCATGGATATCACCCTATGAGATTGAGAGGAAAAGTAAGAAAAAGAACAAAAAGGGTAAACATTTAATGTTACCATGTACATCACAATTGCATATAAATGTTTTTTAACAGCTGCCATAGCAGTGACAGGCCCACCGATACTTCAGTGTTCAAGAAAAGCAGGAGTTGCCAATGGTACAAGCCTCCACCTGCTCCACAAAGCTGAGGTTCTCTGCGAGGCAATTTAACTTGAAATTTAAAACTTTAAGGAACTTAAATTTAAAAATATAAAGTGAGAATTCAGTTTCATAATTTAGAGTTTACAGCAAAGCTCTGTGGTTGCACAGGCCAAAATTAACTGCATAGGCAACAGCTTGGTCCTTCTGATGGTGAGTCCAACACTCAGATCAGAGACTTCCAGGCACTGAGGTCCATTGGCCAAAGTGTCTCATGACATAAGCAGTCTTCACTATCTATCATTATGGGGGGATTTTAGAGTAATTTGAAAACATAGGCAAGAAATAATGATTTACTAAACTTATTCAGGGGGAAATATAGTGAATATTCAAGTGGGAAAAGATCAAGTCAGGAGTAAATCAGACTGACAGATACTTTCTAACACGCAGAACTAAAGAAGCAAAGTAACAGCTGATGGTGCTCTATGGAACCAGCATTTAGCACTGCTGCTCAATGGACCGTGCTATTCTGGGAGGCTTTATTTTTCCCCATAAAATACTTAACCAGATGGAAAAAGACAAGCAACCCCAGTCCACTCTACCACCCGCTTCATGGTAGTTTTAATACTCAGGTAAGTCTGCTGGAGCCCTCTGAACAGAAGGCACCATCAAAAGAAAAAACAAAAAAACATCTATTTAAAATTTGGAGAGGAGAACACAGGGGGGAAATAAAAAAAGTTCTTAAAGAGGTATCTCTCAGCAAGTCAGTGCCCAATCTGTTCTCTGGATGGGATTAATGCCACTGTTTAGGACAACATGGAAGGGAAGACTGAAAGGATAAATAGAGGCTGTCATCAAGTCAATGCTAGCATGCTGCTAAGATGTCTGGGCTATTCTTTTAGAAGACCTAACACAGAGCTTCACAGAGCTTCTGTATAGGAAGCAACAAGCCAGAGAGCAATGCCCAGTCCTTCCTTTCTAGTATTTAACCCCTCTACCACCTCACCAATGAAAGAACACATCTTCCCAGACATACAGTTTCTCCCATCAGGAAAGGCATGTGTGTGTGTGTGTGTGTGTGTGTGTGTGTGTGTATACACATATGTGCACACACAGGTGCATATGCATGTGGGGGCCAGAGGCTTCTCCACCTTATTTTTTGAGACGGTCTCCCAGGGAACGTGGAGCTCTCTGATGCAGTTAGGTTGACTGGCCGGAAAGCCTCAAGGATCCTCTTATCTCTATCTATCCAGTATTGAGATTATAGGTGCAGGCCACCACACCTGACTTTTTTTTTAAAACATCCCTAAATTGGGATTCAAACTCAGGTCTTCATGCTTGTATAGCAAGTACTTTACCAACTAAGCCATTAACCCAACTCTTGGACAGACCCTTTTCTGGACTGCTTAGAAAAGAGTTCTAAGGGATATCATATTGTAGATAGATTTTAATCTTTCTCAGTAAGAAAATGTCACCTCTAAGCAGTAAGAAAAGATACTTAGTACATATAAAAAATATTAGAATGAAGCTTAACAATTTAACTTCCAGCCCCCAGATGCTGTCACCTTCTTCCTTCCTTTAAAAAAAATTTTTTTTGAGACAGGGTTTCTGTGTATCTTTGTTGGTCTGGAACTTGCCAGGTAACCCAGGCTAGCCTAGAATTCTTGATCCTTTTGCCTCTGCCTCCCGAATGTAGGGATTATAGGTATGTGATACCCTGATACATTCCTTCACTCTTAAAACCAAGATGAAGGGTGTTTTTTGGTTCTTTGGAGAACAAGTCTTTCTTGAACCTTAGCCCTAGGTTTTAAACTTGCATCTTTCTGAAGTTTATAAACACAGTGTAGTACAAAGTCATGTAAAAACGATCAGTGGTAAGGAAGTGAGAGGAACTGGGTGTCTTATTCTGAAGGACTTTCTCTGCTCATTTTACTTTGTTTCTGAGTGAGGACAGTCTTAAGAAATGGAAGGCACATAGTACAGAAAGAAAGGGTTGAATAATAACTTCTTTCAACCCTTCTCCTTCTCCTCCTCTTCTTTCTTTTTGTATTTTTGAGACAGGCTCTCCCTTTAGCCCTGGCTGGCCTGGAACTCACTATGTAGACCAGGCTGGCCTCGAACTCACAGAGATCCTCCTGCCTCTGCCTCCTGAGTGCTGGGATTAAAGGCATGCACCACCATGCCCAATTCAACTTTTTTAAACCCAGGGCTCTTGTGCATGGTGAGCAAGCACTCTACCAACTGAGCTACAGCCCCAATTCCTGTAGAGACCAGAAGAGTGTGTCAGAGCCCCTGGAACTGGAGTTACAGATAGTTGTTAGCTGTCATGTGGGTATTGGGAATAGAACCTGGGTCCTCTGCAAGAGCAGTCAGTGCTCTTAACTGCTGAGCCATCTCTTCAGCCCCTCAACTTTCTTTCTTTTTTTTAAAATAATGATAAAATACTTATTATTTATTAATTATCTTTTTTGAGACAGGGTCTCCCTGTAGCCCAAGCTGTCCTGGAACTATGTAGACCAGGCTGGCCCCGAATTCACAGAGATCCGCCTGCCTCTGCCTCCCAAGTGCTGGGACTACAGGCATGCACCACCACGTCCTGGCTCAAGTTTCTTTTTTAAAAGATTTATTTTTATTTTATGTGTATATGTGAGTGCCTGCATAGATGTATGCATACCATGTATGTATACTTGTGCCTAGGGAGCCCAGAAAAGGGCATTGGATCCCCTAGAACTGGAGTTACAGTAGTTGTGGGCCACCCAGCGTGAATGCTGGGAAACAAACCTGGGTCCTCTTCGAGAGCAGCAAGTGCTTAACTGCTGAGCCATTGCTCCAGCCTGTCTTTCAAGTTCTTAAAGCTAAGAAAAGTTCCTGTCCTATTTACATACCCTAAAGCAGTAGTACCAGGTGTTTGGAAGTGTCAGAATTCCTTTGTACTCTTAAAATTACTGAGGGACCCCTAAGACTTTTGGTTATATGCACTGTTTCCTGATATTTACAGTAATGAGCATCTTTAAAACATTTAACCTCTGAAAAAATTACAGAATCACAGAAAGTTACAGCAACAGTACACTTAAAGAAAAAAAAAGAAACCTCAAGAACATACAAATAATGGGGCTGAAGAGATGACTCAGTGGTTAAGAGCACTGGCTGCTCATGCTCAGGTTCGATTCCCAGCACCCACAGGGCAGCTAACGACCATCTGTGACTCCAGTTTCAGGGGATCCAACACCCTCTTCTGACCTCCACGGGCACTGCAGGACATGAGTGTACCCACTTACACGCAGGCAACACACTCGTACACATAAAATAAAAATAACAAAATATTTAAAAAAGAATACATAAGTAAGCATTTTATACCCATCACACCACTCAGTATGTAGTATCCAAAAATCTCTACTCTTCAGTATTGAGAATGATGCAGAATGGCTAATGATGCTTTAGTATCATTGTGAAAACAGTTTTGACATAAATTCCTGAAGTGTCAAGAGACCCCAGACCACATTTGGAGAACTGTTAACAGCCTAACAAGGGTGTTAGGATGAATATAAAATACTGAAGACACTTCTTCCATACCAGGTAGGTCTCTGCCTCAAAAGTGGAGGAGGCCTAGGGAGGCACCATACCAGGGCAAAAGGCTTAATGCTAATGACAGATCATAACCAGGCAGTAAGCTGAAAGATGCCATGTTTTCAGGGAACATGTTGGCTCTACTGACTACAACTTTACTGTATGCTAAAAAATTTTATGATTAGTTGACATATCTTTCCTTCTCATAAAAATGATAGCAGCAACAAGGTACATCCTGAGGATTAGTGTCTGGCTGGGTCTTGTAATACCAAGTCCTTCTAGATGATTATTGTTCCCCAGGAAATGCTTGGCTCTCAACTGTTATTGTTTAATTAATGTTGTTGCAGCGTATGCTACCCAGCAGCAAACACACAGACCCTGTGTGTTGGTTTTAATCACTGCTATTGTTGGGTTACTGCAAAAGTAGAAGTCAATCATCTTTAAAAAAATGTATCCCACTGGGTTTAACTTAGTGGTTTTAGAAAAGCTTTATTTTGTCTTTAGATTTCAGAAAAGAACAATGTTTGCTTTTTAAAATGGAACTTGGCAAGAGCTTTTAGTTTGTGATTTGATCTGAGTGGATCCTTTGTGTCTAGTCTCTAAAAGAGAACTGTAAACTATCTCAACCAGAGAACCCAGACTAAGTTCATATGGTTTAAGAAAAACACTCATGGGCAGAATAAAGCCATTTATCTATCCCCAGCACCTGTACACAGACTCACAGGAAGAGCTCTAACAGGAGGCCAACCAGCACTGAAACTCTTTGGCCATACTTGGACTGGGGGAAGTTGGCAAAGTCTTTGGTACCAGCAAACAAGGTTTCAGATAAGGACTCCTGGTATTCATTAGCTTGCCAAGTTAGATAATCTACATCAACTACTAAGCCCAAAAGTTATGAAGTTAGGAAGGCTGGTTGAAATGCTGTCTTTAGAACCAGGATGAGTCTTAGCCCCAGCGATGTCCAAGGAAGGGTCAGAGAACAGAACTCTTCTGTGAACCCCAAGCGTCTGGAATTCTAACTCGGGTTTGGATGGAATTCTCTTGGAGAGAGGTATGCTATGAGCAAGCTGTGAGACTCTTCAAGGAACATTTCACCCGAAAATGGTTAATAGGAAGCTTGTAGTTCACAGAAGAACTAGGACAGGGACATAGAAATCCTTGTTTTCTCTCTTCAGCCCTAATCCTCTTCCATCTGCAGTGAATGGCAGTGTCCTCCTTCTGGTTGTTTGGCTACAACTTTAGATTTATCCTTCACTATTCTCTTCTTCTCACCCCGCATTTAATCCAACTGATGCTTTAAAACATAAGCAGCACCAGTTATTTGTCTCCACCTACCACCCCATCAGGGCCAGGTGTTGTCATTTCATACCCAAACCACCAGGGCAGCCTTCTACTGGCCTCCCTGCTTCATCACACTCTTCCAAAAACCCCTCACTCCAAATTTTAGACAAAGTACTCCTTTCAAAATCAAGGTGACTCTATTACCATCAAGAATCATCAAAGGAGGTTGAAGTCTGAGAAACAGTCTGTTGGGAAACTGAGTATTTACTATTTACATAGACTCAAAACTATCTCCAACCAAAGTGAACACAGACTTTTACAAGCGAAAAAAACTGAACGGAAATTATCCAAAGAGATGAGTATTAATGCTATCAACAACTGTACATACTGAAGTCACACAGCCTTGTGCTGTGCTATCCTGAGAAGCACCTGTCATCACTGATCTGGGCTCTTACATGTACTCCAACATGTTCTGGGGGGGGGGGGAACCATCACAATACAATGAAGAGCACCTTACAGAGCCACTGTCCCATTTTTAAAAATTCCACTGCCGCTGGGCGTGGTGGCACATGCCTTTAGTCCTAGTACTAGGGAGGTGGAGGTAGGCGGATCTCTGTGAGATTGAGGCCAGCCTGGTCATCTACATAACAAGTTCCAGGTCAGCCAGGGTGAATGGGGGACCTTGTCTCAAAAAGACTAAAAAAAAAACCCCACCATTAGGAAAGCCAAAGATAGGCTAAGAAATAATTTCAGAATAAAGGAGACTGAAAAGATACTACCACGTTAATGTCAAGAGTGATCTTGCTATCTTGGCACCAGTGGAGGCCTGCTGGGAGCAGGACTTCTAAAAGGCAAATATGTCTGGAAGGCTGTGGTGCAAGGCCACTTTTGCAGGCTATAAGTGAGGTCTCCAGAACCACTCAGAGCATACAGCTCCTTTTAAAATCAAAGGTGTTTATGCCCAAGATGAAAATTAATTCTACTTAGGCAAGAGATATGCGTAAGTGTATAAAGCAAGAAATAATACCATGACTCCTGGTGGCAAACCAAACAAAACCAGAGTAATTTGGGGAAAAGTAACCCGGGCCTGTGGAAACAGTGGCATGGTTTGTGACAAATCCCAAAGCAACCTTCCTGCAAAGGCCATTGGACAGAGAATCCATGCGATGCTGTTCCCCTCATGGTTTAAAGGAGTGATCTTGGACTGGATCCTGGAATTGTCACGAAGGCATTTACTGGGACCACTGGAGAAATCTGAATATGAACTGTAGGTTATATACCAAAACATGGTGGCTGCACAACAGAATACTCTTATTCTCAGAGAATGTACACTGAAAAACTTCAGAGTGAAGATTCATAAAGCACACAATTGGCTCAGAAAAAAAAGTGTGTGTGTGTGTGTGTGTGTGTGTGTGTGTGTGTACACGTGCGTGCATGTGTATAGGGGAGAAGTAAAACTGGCAACCTCTTAACAGCTAATGAATCTGGCTAAAGGGTGAGACATACACTGTGCCATTGCTGCAACTTTGTCATAGGTTTGGGGATTTTCAAAATAATTCTTTGTGGTAAAAGAATTTGGTGATTCCTTCACTTGAAGTCCTCCAGTGGTCTCCCATTGTACTTGAAATAAAAGCCATGAAGTTTTGTATGAGCAGGCCTGTCACCTCTGGTCACACCTCTTCTGGTACTTTCTCTGGGAGGCCCTCCCTTACTCCTCCTAGGGTGGTGCCTTCCTGACACTATGTCTTACACCTTATCTATTCCATTTTCTTCACAGTGCTCATCACTACCTGGCAGATTATTCATTTTCTTGTCATCTACCTCTTCTATGGAATACAGTCTCCCTGAGGGCAAGTTCACTTGTCCCTTGCTGAATCCCCAGCCTCAAGAATACTTCTTGCTCAGCAGAACAGTTCTCAGTAAGTATCTGCTGGGCGAACTCACTGCTTTATAAGTGTTGGAACCCATTTCTGACCAACTCCACTAGTAAAGCTGTTCTAGAGAAGACCTTGCACTGCTGGAGCAAAGGCCAGAGCTGCTTTGTTCATGTTCTCTACCTCCAATACAATGGCAGAAACTTCTCAATTATAAGCCCATTTCCCAACCGTCCTCTGAGAACTCATTCACAGTGGATCAAATTCAGACTCTGGTATTATATGAACATGACTCTCAATGACATGGGATGCCAGGGACCCCAGAAGAAAATGCCTGTCCTGGCATGCAGGCCTTCTGCAAGGTCTCCTGCCTGGGACCCTAGAAGAAAGTGCCTGTCCTGGCTTGCAGGCCTTCTGCAAGGTCTCCTGCCTGGGACCCCAGAAGAAAGTGCGTGTCCTGGCTTGCAGGCCTTCTGCAAGGTCTCCTGCCAGGGACCCCAGAAGAAAGTGCCTGTCCTGGCTTGCAGGCCTTCTGCAAGGTCTCCTGCTGGTCCAGAGCTAGGGCAAAAGGTGCAAAGCTGGTGAGGAAACAACACAGGACAATGGTTTTCCCGGTGTGAGCTCTCGGAAAGAGAGCATTTCCCCAAGTTACTTACGTCTGTGGAGGTGGGGCTGGGCAGGGACACAGGCTGCACAGGTGCGGGGAAAGTGAATGTGGCCTCTGTCTTTTCATTTTCAGGGGAGTCGGGATGACTGGATGGGGGGGATGTTGGGGTAAGGGCTCCAAACCCCAGCACTGCATTGTATTTTGGAGGACGACCTATATACCAAGAGAAGGGAACAAAAAGGGGAAAAGGGGGAGGGAAAGACAGGGGGAAAATGATCTCACATACCTTTGGCCAGTGTTCCTCATTGGCTAGCATGGAAAAGGAAGTGAGGTAGCAGGCAGAAGGTTAATACACAGTCCCAGAGAAAGAAAGAAGCAAAGATTTAAATGTCAGTAGAAACAACTACACAAATCCTAAAAGAAAGGAGGAGAAGAGAGCCTTGGAGAGAGACTGCAGGTGCTGGCTTTTGTAAAAAGATGCCATCTTGGGCAGATCATGGCTGTTCCTGGACTATTATAGTCTGAAATTCTGTAGGAGAAACCAGATGCCAAGCACCAAAGAAAGCCAAGGCCAGAACCGTTATGTTTATGCTTTTTGTGCATTAGTCACTAAGGTTTCTCTGCAATCATTATTCTTACAATAATATGATTGATTCTCAGTTTCCACAAATGGATTTATTCAGCATTTCTGCTTTTCCATGTCTCTCCTGTCAACACTTTGGACCGTTCACTGTTGGTAAGGGTGGAGAAAGGCAACGTGAGGAGGCAAGATTCAAGTAAACTATTCTCACTGTCTGCTGTTAGAGCCATTGAGAGGCATTTTCTGGGAGTGGCTGGAACCTAAGAGTAACAAGGTGTTCTCTGCTTAATAAGGAATTCAAGCATTTCCAGCCTTGGGTATCCTCCTTGGTGGACGGAGAGCTGTCTCTCTGCTTTATGACATGAGCATCCTGGTGAGCTACATATTTAAGGACTGAGACTGCTCTAAAGTCTCAGGAAAGGCCCTGCCATTATCACTCTTGACCAAGAGGCCTGGTTTAAAGCAGAACACTTTCAATCAAACTTCAATCTACAAGAGATCTAGAATGAGCCCAGGGGTATAGAAAGTCCATGGCGGTTACTCTTACCACATATCTCAATCAGGGTCCTTGTCTTTGAAGATTTAGGGCTGCAACTTCTAAGCTGTGAGTGATCAAGAGCATAAACCCAGCACACTAAAGTCTAGGAAAAGCCAGAGAAGTCCTGTATTGCCTGCAAGCACAGTCCTGAATTGCCCATAAGCACTGGCTTATGGTATATGCAGGGTCACAGCTCTTCTACCAGTTATAATTCGTATTAGGGTTATGCAAAAGAGCTATGCTTCTGTCAGGTATGACGCTAGCATTACCTGTGTTAAAATGACAGTGCCTTTGTTACAAAGATAGATCCTACTGTTTTTTTTGGTTGGTGAGGTGGACATCAGTGCTGTGAGGAGGAAAACTGAAGATGTACCCTCTTTGCTCACTCACAGGAGACATACCCTAGGCACTGTGAACACGGGCTTTTCTGATTTTGGCTAGGCAGGCCAAGTTCTTTCTGGCTCATTTAGCACCTATCCTCTTAGCAGATACTGCCTACCAGCAGCCTAATTAATTGTGGCCTCTGGCTGGGAACTTCTTAACTGAGAACTGTCAGAGATCACTAAAAAGTAGCTCAACACAAAACAACAAAAAATAACTTATGGTTGTGGTCCAGGAATCAAGATAAAGCAATAACTTAAGGTCTCCCGTCTACATGTTTATGGTTACTTGCAGAGCAGGATGGAGCAGGACTGATGAAAGGTTAGAATGGGTCCCTAAGGCTGGCTGTGCCCCAGGAAGATAATGGTATACTTATAGTTCTGCCCAAGGCAGACAAGGGTCAGGGTGACCTCCTGAGTTTCCAGCAGCTCTGAGATTTTGTGCGTACACAAAAATTAGTATGCTAGTCCACTCACTCTGCAACCTTTCTATCCTGAAACTGTAATTCAGGGACACATTACCATGTGGAGAAGGGGACCTTGGGATGTATTACTGACATCAAAGAGTGATTTCAGTGCCTTGTTTATGAGCTCAAACCTGAGCTATCAGGCCTTATGTAGACCTGCATGGGGAGACAAGCTGCTGCTGCGTGGCTGATGCTCTGCCTGGGCTGTGGGGAATGCTCATGGAAGGTCTAGAAGATGGGAAGACAGCAGCTCTTTAGGAGTTTCTGCCTTGGGGAGCCTGTTTTGCCAGCAACCTTTTCTTCCCTAGTTAGAGATGTACACTTGTGAAAGATTCTAAGTGCTCTTCTTCCTGGAAAGTCTGCAGCTCACAGAAACTCAGTCACATCCTAGCCTCAACGGCAACACGACAACTGAGACACTATTAGGAACACCTTGGCAACAGCAATGCTCGGCTGCTTAATGATGCTAAATACTTCCTTTCACATGGTGTTCTGTTCACTGAGCTATTCATGGATGGCCTGGTAGGCTTGGGGCAGAAATGCTGCATTAAGCCATTTTCCTGAGCCAGCTTAGCCAGGACCTGGAAAGTCAGCTTTCAGTTTTGCATTCAGAGCTCTAATAAGAAAGCTCTCTCTTTTCCTCCCTGTTCTCAGGAAGCAACACAACTATTTTCAAGGGATAAGAGAAGCCAGGTCCTAGGACAATGGGAACGAGGGAGGGAGGGAGGGAAAAGAAACAACACAGAAAGCAAAGGCAGTAGTAGCAAGACAGAATTTTAAAATGGCACTCACCTCTCTTCCGGGTTCCAGGATGCATTGTGCTGTTTAGGTATGTGACTGCACTCTTCTTTCGCTTTGAAGATTGAAGAAGGAAAGGTGACTATTGAACAGCATGGGTACCACTAACACTGGCCAAACATACCTATCACATGCCAACTAGTTAGTGCTGATCATCCCTTGGTCTCCACGCTAATGGGTTTTATTATATATATATATTTGGCTCTAAGAGAACACTTCAAGAGGCCTGCCTCTGTTCCATGACAGAGTGGGGATGAATTAAAAATAAGGTAGAGTTGTATCTACTCAAACTTAGAGAGAAAAAAAAAAAAAAACCTAAAAGTAAGCAGTGACTAATAAAACACAGTAATGTTATGAGCAGAGAGAAACCCATCACCCGATGGAGCAGGCCAACTACCTAGCAGCACTCCCAGCAGGTTTTCAATGGGAGGGGCCCAGAACCCTGAGGAAATGGCCAATCGCCAGCTTAGTACCTCTGGCTCGAAGACTGCCCCACTATACACTGGATTTGCTGTTGTTCTCCTTTTCCGTTCTTGCCTCTTGCTTTGGATTTCTAAAGAAAAGCAAAGTCTTCCATTAGAAGATAGGAGTGAAGAATCTAAAAAACTGAATTTGCTGCTTAATAGGTTGTCTTCCTATAACGAATAAGGAACAGGGGCAAGTGTTTCACTAGAGCCTCAACAGGAGTAAACACTCCTGAAGATCCAATTTACTTGTGTACCTCAGCAAGGAGGCCACACTGTCCCACAGTGCGGCTCTGTTGCAGTCGACCACCCTTACAAACAAGCTGTGCTCACTTATTTTTAGACTGCTGTGCATAGAGGTCTGGATGTACTTTATCCAAAAGACTATCAATCAAAATTCACCATCCTTGAATTAAATAACAAGGACAGGCAGAGCCTTGTAATTGTCCTTAGGATTCTGATCATACAGAGTGACTGGAAAATATATGCAAAAACTTGTCAATGCAGCACTTGCTTCTCTGTGCTGTGAGATAACGAATAGAAATCACCTTAATTCAGACAGCTGGGAAGTGTCCCCGGGATGGGGGTATGGATGGTCTAGCAAGGGGAGGGAATTCAGATGGACAGGAGGCAATTTTTCCTCTAAAGGAAATAGAGTCCATACTAGTTGAATCATACTCTATTTGTGTTCCAATTTCCTATTCTAGGGATTCAATCAAATATCACTTTCAGGAACAAAGCTGTGAGCTAGAAAGGCCGTGCCAAGAATATCTTCTCTTACCTTCTAGATGGTCATGTGTTACCAACCCTAGAGACACCATGAAGGCAAGTTTCTGTGCCAGGGAAACAAAAGAACATATTTCAGTCTGGGAATATCACAAAGTCAACTGCGGGTTCCTAGTCAGATAGCAGGGAAAGCTGGACTGCTGGGCTGGCCCTTGATGGAGGCTGGGTGCAGAGTGGCAGCCTCTACACTGGGCAGCTTCAGTGCCAGGCAAGAGGCTTTCTATTCTAACAAGGGCCAAAGGATGGCTAGGGCGAAATCTTCCACTTTCCCACTCACAAATCAGCATCTTCACTGGCTGGAGTTTGTCCCCCAACCTTCCTCGGGAAGTAGCTTCTTAAAGAGGCGGTACTTCATATTGGAAAAACATGCAGAGGGATTTAAAGAATCTCCATGCAACAAGCTCCAAATTCCAAACGCTCCACCAGTCATGACTAGGTCTCTCACATTTGCTGTTGCTGATCAGATAATATTGACACACAGCTAATGAATTTTAGGGACACTCTGTTCGAAACTCTGGCTTTTAATCAAACATAGACCCAAATATTATGGGACAGTTTCTCTCTGATGGCCACTCTTAGGGCTCCATTTGCACCCCAAATACAGAATGTTAAGAGACTGTAAGCTAGAAAAAGCATTAGACTGATTTCTATTCTTTTCTTTGGTTGGCTGTGATCTGAAGACAGCTTGACTCTCTGTTAGATCGTTGCACGTGGTTTCTAAATATACCAAATACATTGATCTCCTTCTCTGATGAGGAAAGGAACACCATCAGTCGTCAGGAGGCATACTCCTATAGAGTTCTTATAGTACAGTTTAGTCTTTAAACAGGCCCTCCCCCATCCCCCAATATGAAGCCCAGGCTGCCTAGCCCTCCTCCTGCCTCTGTCTCCGGAGTGGGAAGAGTAGTGGCTCTTCCTAGCCTCTTTGAGAATCTCGACCTATCATTCTCAGCACCAAGTAATAGGATCCTCTGATGTGAAGTGATAGGCTCAGTCTATTCAAGACACATTCTGTGAACAAGCTTCTTGAGAACATAGACTGTCCTTCATTGGTATCTTCAGGGTTCTGAAAAAAATGCTTATATTTTCTTTTTTATTTCAAAACTGTTGGTGCAAGCATGCACAGGGCCCTGAATCTGACCCCCAGCATGGCACACAAAAAACAAACAAACAAACAAAAAAAAAACAAAGCAAAATTAAACAAACAAACCTTAGATGGGCAACTGTATTAGACAGAGTATTGGGCAGGGTAAAGCTATCTTACTTGGACTTAATTCCCATTTTCTAATACTATATGCAGAAGTGAGAGTTATTTGGTGTAGTCAATTAATACATTCCTAATCTTCAGGGTTCCTTTAAAGTATGATGAAGACAGTTGCCGTGCACCAACATCCTCTGCTGGTGGACCTCTTTTAATCATAACAGCACTGGCCACTCCTATCCCTTCAGCTCATCTCTAACAATCTAAGTGAAGCTCACAAATAAATTCTTTTTTAAAAAATATTTTACATGTATGAGTGTTTTGCCTGCATGTATGTAAGTGTACCATGTGTGTGCAATGCCCAGAGGTCAGAAAAGGGCATCACATCCCTTGGAACTGGAGTTACCGAAAGGTGTTAGTTGCCATGCGGGTGCTGGGAACTGAACCTCAGTCCTCTGCAAGAGCAGCCAGGGCTCTTAACCACTGAGCCATCTCTCTAACCCTTATAAAGAAATTCTTAAATGATAAAAAAAAAAATCACTCCTCTTACGAATTTCTTTTCTTAGTTCGAGACAGAGTCTAACTAAGTAGCCCAGCCTAGCCTCCAACCTGTAGTCCTCCTGCCTCATTCTCCCAAGTGCTGAGATTATAGATATGAGCTACTGCTTCTGCTAGAACTGGCATTCAACTATAGAATAAAAAGGTGTCAGTTCACACACACACACACATGCACCCACCTCTTTCTCACAAGAGAACAGATTTTATATGACAGTGATATCTTAGTGATATCATAAAGAAATTCTGGTGGCTGGGTGTGGTGGCACGTGCCTGAAATCCTGGCCCTAGGGAGGCAGATGCAGGTGGATTGCTGCAAGTCTGACGTGAGCCTGGGCTATCTAGCCACTTCCAACTCATCCAGAGCTACATAGAATGATCCTGACTCAATTTCTTTTTCTTTTGCTAATAGTTTGTTCTGTTTTTCCTCCAAGTGAAATACTTGCTATTACTCTTTGTAAACAATTTTACAAGTTTTTCAGCAATTTTGTTACTAGTGCTTCTTTTTGGTTCAAGGGTTGGTGCCTTTTAAAAATACAATTAAGGCCGGGCATGGTGGTGTACGCCTTTAGTCCCAACACTTGTGAGTTCAAGGCCAGCCTGATCTACATAGCGAGTTCAGGTCAGCTGGGACTACAGGGAGACCCTGTCTCAAAAAAAAAAACAAAAAATAAAAAATAAAAAAACAATTAAAATTCATCCATTTTCATATCAGAAAAAAAGTATATTTGGTACTTGTTTTACAAAAACTGAGCTGGTTCAATAGGTCTTTATTTTTTCTTATTAAAAAAAAAGACAGGAAGCCCTGATGGCTTCATGCCACTATTTGACTTGGTTTTACTATGACAAATGTATTGAGGACAGAGGGAAATGGATTGCTGGTCTAATAAAATCCAGCCATCAGATAGTCATCATCATAGGACCTGTCCACATTTTTTCTTTATAGCTACTTGTGCAAAAGCATCAAGCTAAAATACCCTTGTGTCTACAGACACACAGATAGATGCATTCAGTGCCTGCACAGGCTCGTCTGTACTTCTGTTTATAACTCTACCCTAAGGCATGGTGTGGACGTGACAATCTTCCTTCACAGAACCATTTATGCGTCAATGAACCACTTCTGAGCTACCAATTCACTTGGAATTTGGGGCTCTGATGTAATAAAATGGTGGTAACAAAACATACTGTACACACAACTGTGATCAATAATGTAAACAGACGTTCGTGGAGCGAATAGGGTATCTCATACATGATGTCCGAGACAAACACAGTGTAAATGTCATTAGGAACATCACAGGATCCCTGCGAACTAGTCATTTATCTTGTTTTTCAAGTTTGCAAGGTGTATCTGAAAGACAGCACCTCAGCACTTCTCCTTTGGAAGTCCAAAATGTTCAAGTGTCAAGGTGTGGGCCCTCAGGACTCTACACTAAGAAACTTGCTCTAGGTCAGTCTGACTTGGCAATCACACTGCTGAATGAACAAGAACACTGGAGAGGAGGGTGGCCCTGGTGCAAACCCAGCCAGGCCTCTGCAACAACGCACCTACCTGAGGGTTCTCTTCCCGTTTTGGTTTGGGTGCAGCAGGTGGGGTGACAGTGCGGCTCTCTGTTTGTTTTTCATCTGTTTCTGTGTGGGATTTAACTGTCTAGGAGAGAAGAGCAAGTGGAAATTCAGAATTCATTTTTTAAATTAAAAGGATGGAAAAAAAACAGCAGTTTAACTATGGCCAAGAAGAAAAGATTATACTGAATTTTGAAACATTAATTATAGATTCTGTTGGGGAGGAAATAAAATGTAAAAGCTGCAGCTGAAGACATTGGGTTGCACAACTGGAGTAAATATGAATCTGTAAATACAATGGGCAAAACAATCAGAAGAATAATCTTTGTGTATAAATATGAAGTACCATGGAGCTGGGTATGGTGATGCATATCTTTGGGCCCAGCACTCAGGAGTCAGAGGCAGGCGGATATCTGTGAGATTGAGGCTGGCCTGGTCTACACAGTTGTGGCTACAAAAAGCAACTTGAAAGGGGGACTGTTTCTATACCTCTTTTTCCTGGAGTCATCTGAGCCTAGAATAGTGCCTCAAGCTTGCATTCAGCAGAGATGACCTCCAGGAGAGTCATTCAAATCTCAATCCCCTCTCTCTCTCTCTCACCCTCCCTCTCTCTGAGAGGGAGGGAGGGAGGGAGAGAGAGAGTGAGAGAGAGAGAGAGAGAGAGAGAGAGAGAGAGAGAGAGAGAGAGAGGAGAGAGATGGTTTTTAATTTATCCCCAAAGGACATACTTCCTATCCTTCATAAAACAAACCTTCAATGGGAAAGCAGTGCATGATAACATTATTAAGGTTCGAAGTGCTCAGAAAGCTTGTTTTCATGACTCTTTGAATGTGGAAGGACACAGGTGGAAGAAGAGGTCAGCCATAAGGGTTTGTATTCCATTCCCATGTGAAACGGTTCCCTGGAGACTCTCTATCTCGTATTTCCAGGGTTGAGGAAACACTTGATGGCAAGTGCTCCTGGACAAGGCCCTATCAACCCATCTCCGCTAAGAATTACCCATGCCCTACCCCACCGCCCTAGAGCACACTGAATGTTGCATAAAGAATACCAAAAAAGCATCCAAATAAAACCAAAACCACAACATTGGAGGGGATATATTTCTCTCACAGAACTCTTGTACTGTAGGAAGCCAGCTGCCACATTGTGCACAGCACTATGTAGGGAACTGGCTGCAAGCAGTGAACAAGTTAGGCCTGTCCGATAAGAACCATGTGCCTGAGCCTGGACATAAACCGCTCAACTCCAGTTATGCCTTGGTCAGTGGCTTTGACCGCAAACTTGTGAGGAACCTGGAGCCAAAACTGATCAGCTAAGCTTCAGGCAGGAAGGCAGGAGGGCAACATATTTAAAGCGATGAGAAGAACAAAACAGAGCCATCAACCAACAATGCTATATTGTATAAAACCACCTTTAAAGAATGAAGGAGAAATGAAAATATTCCCAGATAAACAAAAGCTAAGGATAGTTACCACCGGTGAACTTGCCTTAAAAGAAATGATAAAGGGAGTCCTTCATGCTGAGATGGAAGACAACTGGCTTAGACCCATGGAGAGAGAATTCCAGTAGAGGTAAATAAAAAAGCCAGTGCTATGGTAGTTTTGATTAGTAAATGCTCATTTTGTTCCTATGTGAAAGATACTTATAAATCTGTATCAGCAGATATACAACATATAAAGATAAAATTTGTGACAATAATACCACGATATGTGAGACAGGTGCACAGGAGCCGGGGTTTTATGTATTATTGAAGCTAAGCTGGGAATCAGTTAAAATGAAATTGTTAAAAACTTATGAAAGCTAATGGTAATCCCCGTGGTAACTATCAAGAAAATTAAATATACATGGAATAAAAGGATATGAAGAAGAAATGAAAATGATAGGGACCCTAGAAAAAAAAACAAACACAAAAAAGGCAGAAAGAGAGGAACAGGGAACAAAGGGCTTGAGAGGGGTAAAACAGCAGCATGGCAAAAGTACTTACTAGTAATCATTTTAAGTCAAACTAGATTTAACCCACCACTGAAGGGTAGAGAAGGCAGAATGGATAAAATACACCACTCAACAGTATGCTGTCTGCTAGAGACTAAGCTTAGAGGGGAAGGCACAAACAAAGGTCAAAAGGGCAAATGCAACCTGAAGCTGCAGGGGTGGTTAGACGCCACCAAACACCACTAAGTCAAAATGCCCACAAGAGACAGGGAAAGCCCTAATACAGGACGAAAGAATCTGAAAAGAAGAGTTAAGAACGATATGCACCAGGGGCTGGAGAGATGGCTCAGCAGTTAAGAGCACCTACTGCTCTTGCAGAGGACCCAGGTTCGATTCCCAGCACTCACATGGTGGTTAACAACCATCTATAGTTCCAGTTCCAGGAAATCTGATGCCTCCTTCTGACCTCCATGGGCAATGCATGACACAGGTGCACTTATGCAGTACACTCATACACATAAAATTTTTGAAAACTGAAAAAAAAAAAGAATTATATACCCCAAACAAGAAAATCCCAAGACCTGTGAAACAAACAGTGGCAGGGGAAGAACGGACTATTACGCAGTAGTAATTGGAGACTTCAATGTCCCATTTCATGGAGTGGCTACAGCCTGCAGCCAGGAAGGTGTGAGGACATCAAGGGCAGAGACAACACCCTGAACTGATGAGCCCTAGCAGACAGGTAAAGAAAATTTCACTCAACAACAACATACATGTTTTTCTTAAGTATAAATGGAACATTCTCCATGATAAGCCATATTTTAGGTAAAAAAAAAAAATCGTAATATATTTAAAAGACTTAAATCACATAAAATATCTTCTGTGGCTACAATGGATAGAAAGTAGAAATCAGTCAATGGAAGAAAAGCTGGGAAATCTGGAAGTATGTAGAAATTAAACAGTACAGACCTGACCGAACTGTCAAAGAAGACATCGCCAAGGAAACCAGAAAACACTTGAAGAGAAATAAGGACAAAAATACATCTTCAAACTGAGGTGACACAGTAAAACCAGAAAGGGGAAATTTATGGCTATTGAAAGCACTGTATTAACAAAGAAATCTCAAATCAGTAACTTTATTCTTTAAGAACTAGAAAAAGGGAGCTGATGAGATGGCTCAGGTTAAGAGAACTGGCTGCTCTTCCAGAGGACCCAGGTTCGGTTCTCAAGACCCACATGATGAGTCCAATCATCCCTACCACCAGTTCCAGGGAATTCAATGCCCTATTCTGGCCTCCACAGGCATTGCACAACATGAGTGCACTTACATACATGCAGGTGAACACTCATACGCATAAAATAAAAATAAGAGTAAATTTAAAAACATTTTTTAAAAAAGAACTAGAAAAAGGAAGAATGAAACTTAAAGCTGGCATTAATAAAGACTATAGAGCAAAGCCGGGTGCAGTGGTGCACACTTTTAACTCCTGCACTTGGGAGGTAGAGGCAGGTGGATCTCTATGAGATCAAGACCAGTCTGGTCTATATAACGAGTTCCAGGCCAACCTGGGCTACAGGGAGATCCTGTCTCAAAAAGACACACACAAGAAAAGATTATAGAGTGAGGATAAATAGGGAATAATACGACCTAAAAAACTCAAATTTGGTTCTCTGGGGGAAAAATATCAACAAAATTTATAAACTTCTGGAGACTAAGAAGACATAATCAAAATGTGAAAGTAAAAACACTATTAATAATCTTATAGTATTAAAAACAATTTTAAGAGAACAAAGTAAATAATTGTATGACAATTGCATAACAAATGAAATGGACAATTTTTCCAGAAGCTCATTACCCAAACTGGCCCAACATGAGACAGAAAAATCTAAACAGACTCAGAACTACTAGACTGAAACAGCAGTCAAAATCTCCACCCAAAACAAAAATAATGGGATCAGTGATTTCACCTGAATACCATCAAACATTAAAAGAAGAGTTAGTAGCAGTGTGTGTCAAAATCTTTCAAACAAATAAAATCCTAGGAGCTGGAGAGATGGCCCGCAGTTATGAACATATGCTGTTTTTGCAGAGGACCTGAGTTTGGTTCTCAGCACCCACATTAGGTGGCTCATAGCCACCTATAACTCTAGCTCCAGAGGACCTGACTCCCTCTTCTTGCCTTCATGGGCACCGCACAGATGTGGTGTGTGCACTAAGAGAGAAGCAGGTATACACAAGCATAAATAAAAAACAAAACAAAAAAAATGTAATCCTAGATTATTCCACAGGGTCAGCATTACTCTGATAACAAAGTCAGACAAAGAAACCTCAAGAAGAAAAAGTTACAGATCATTTCCCCTTCTGAGTATAGATGCAAAAGTCCTCAACAAAATACTAACAGATTGAATCCAGCAACATATTAGATGAATGACATACCATACAGGCAGATTCATCTAAAACAGAAACAGAAAAACCAAGGCAGCATGCCATACAAAAAAAACCAATGAATACAAATAATCATCTCAATTAGTTTAAAAAAGTATTTCTCAAAGCCTAGGGGTTGGTGGTACACCTGAGTGGTACATAGTTTACCTAGCATGAGTGAAGACTTTGGTTCAGTCCTCAGTACGCATGCATGCATGCAGAGACACACAGACAGACACACAGACACACAGACACACACACACACGGAAAACAAATCCAACATCCCTCCCAACCAGTTCTCACTGAGAAAGCACAGGAGGGGATGGCTATGTTAGTTTGGCTGTAATAATCATTTTACTATGTATATAAACATCAAACCACTATTCTATGTACCTTAAGCATATACAACTTTTTATTTTAAAGGATTTATTTGTATTTGTAAAATATACCCTCCCCCCGGAAAGAAGACTCTGACCAGAGCTAATAAATTCAGCAAAGCTGCAGTGTACATGATCACGACAAAAATCATTGGGGTATCAAAGGACAGTAACAATACACTGAAAAGACGAGTCAGAATATTTTAAAATAATATGACTGGTAAGAATCCAGTATTCAGAGTAAATAAAGAAGCATTACAACTCATCAAGAGAACAACTCTCTATAAAAACTGGCAGGGTATGCCTTTAATCCCAGCACTCAGGAGGTGGGGGCAAGAGGATCTCTGTGAG